CCTGTTCACCCCTTATGGACCAGCAATTTTTATAATTCTGCTATGGACCTGTTTATTCAGCAATAACTTTATCATTACTTAAGATAACAACATAATACATATATTGATTTTTAACCACTTCAAGACCGGACACTTTTACCCCCTTCCTGACCAGGGCAATTTTCAGCTTTCAGCGCTATCACACTTTGAATGACAATTACGCAGTCATGCAACGCTGTACCCAAATTAATTTTTTACCATTTTTTTGAAACAGATAAAGCTTTATTTTGGTGGTATTTATTCACCGCTGGGATTTTTATTTTTTTTGCTATGTAAATGAAAAAGTCCAAAAATTTTGAAAAAAATTTTTTTTTTATAAAATTTTGCAAATAAATAATATTTCATCATAAAATCTTTGCCAAAATTTATTCCGTTATCTTTTTAGTAAAAAAAAAATCCAAATTAGTTTATAACAAAAATTATAATTTTTAAACATTTTTTTTTACATTTTTATTTTATTTTTTTATATTATTATTTTTTATTTTTTTTTTACATACTGTCACCCTAGCAGTACAGTGTCACCATGGTGACACTGTACTACTTGTGGGGGGTGATGAAGATTTTATTTTTTTTTTTTACACATTGCTTTTACACCCATATAGCAAAAGCAATCATTTCTCTTTCTCTCTGTGTGCATTCATGCACTCATTGAGAAGTACTGGCTGAGCTGTGATTGGTCACAGCTTGTCACATGGTACAAGCCTGTTGTGAATAGGCTTGTACCATGTGACCTCTGTGATCATTCACAGATTTCACACGTAGTAAGCAATGATGTCACAAGTGACATCTTGCTTACTACTTTGCATGTGATCACTGATTGGCCAATCAGTGATCACATGATCAGGACCTCGTACAGAGGTCCCGTCCGACGATCCGGAGGACACAGCAGGCACCGGATCGCGGTGCTGCGCGCTCCCAGGGAGCGTGCACAAGCAGGGTGCGGGGAGGCCGTTCATAGACGCCCACCCGACCCTGCAGTGCCACCGTCCGGCCGTTTATATGCAACGGCCGGTCGGGAAGTGGTTAAAGAACAAGCAAGGCTTTCTTTTCAGAAATATTGTCTTGCAACAATTATATTTTTTTTCACAGTCCTTAGACAATTAAATGTAACAAAACTAAAAAAAAAGTGTAGCACCGCTATTGGATGAAACGCGTTGGAGAGGAGTGTATAGTGCTGATGGGTCAGCAAAGGCAATCTACTGTAAGTAAGCTGACATTTCTTTGATGTGCTTGATGTATTTTATACGGATTTTATATTTAAATACCACACTATTGGAGACATATTTGCTCCTTGTGAGCTTTATTTCATCACAGCCCATCCAGACAGAGTGGTACCTGTGGATACAGTTATTTGCCAGTCACATGCACTTATGGAACTTCTGTTTAGACACGGGTGTTCATGCTGTTGTAGTGGCAGCCATCAGTTTTGCTAAGTCTTGAATTCACACGGAGACAGCATTTTTGAGTTACTTTACTGCAAGCAAGAGCACTTTTGTGGTGGTGGACTGATATTTAAATTTTTTAAATTGAAAATTTGATTATATGGACAGTTATTTTATTTTCATTCAATTCTTGAACTCTGGTTTTTGTCATATGTTTTTATTAGACACACTATTTTGTATGATTGGTGCTACACTTTTATTTTTATGCACATTTACTTAGGTGTGGTGTACCACCTATTGGTGCTAGCTGCTTGTACCTCCAGATACAGCTTTATTTTATTTAAAACTAAAAAAGAATCTCACTTTTTGTGTGCAGTATTAGTTTAAAAATAAATAGTGTTACTGCACATAAAAAAGTGTGCATTTTATTCTGTAATTTGTCCTTTTTAAGATGACACTAACATTATGATTCTGGTATAAAGCATTGAAATGTTATTTACAAATGAAATAAATTTATTTTGTGAAATGTGTAAATATATGTTAAAGGTGTAAAAATAAACAAATACAACCAAAAAAAAGTAAAAATTATTAATAGTTTATATAATAGAAATGAACAAAAAAATCAGCAGGAAAATAATAATTAAATGGAGGAGAATAAGGAGTTACTTAGGGCTGATTAGAGTAAATTAAGGGTTATAAGGGTTTAAACAGAGGAACATTCAACCTCTTCCCTACCGCACTATAGCCAAAAGACAGCTACTGCGTGGTTGTCTATTTCTGGGATGATGTCCATGGACATCATTACAGAACACGCCCCCTACGCGCCCCCAGCGGTGCGCAGCCAGTTCCTAAGGACACAGCTGCTCACGTGATACAGTAAACGGCCAATCACAGTGGCCTTATAGCACGTGATCATCTGTGTCCAATGACACAGCAGATCACCAAGTAAATAAAGTTGCTGGTTACCAGCTACACTTTCCTCACGCTGTCACAGCATGAGGAAAGTACTGCCGATAACCGGCAATTGTCAGAGAAGTGATTAGCAATGATGATCAGTGTCCTGATGATCAATGCCCAGCAGTGTCGCCCACCTGTGCCACCCACCTGTACCCATCAGTGCCACCCACCTGTGCCCAGCAGTGCCACCCACCTGTGCCCAGCAGTGCCTAGCAGTGCCACCCACCTATGCCCAACAGTACCACCCACCTGTGCCCAGCAGTGCCACCCATCAGAGCTGTCCAGCTGTGCCACCCATCAGTGCCCAACAGTGCCAGCTCATCTGTGCTGCCTATCAATGCCATCTATCGGTGCCTCCTATCAGTGCCCATCAGTGTTGCCTATCCGTGCCACCTCATCAGTGCCTCTCAGTGCTGCCTATCAGTGGCCATCAGTGCAGCCTTATCAAAGCACATCAGTGAAGAAGAAAAATTACCTGTTTGCAAAATTTTTTATAGAAACAAAGAAAAAAACTATTTGTTTTCAAATTGATTGCTTTTTTTTTTGTTTTGTTTATAACACAAAAAATAAAACACCCAGTGGTGATTAACTTCTTGCCGACCGCGCATAGCCGAATGACGGCTTCACCGCGGCCGGCCAGTTCTGAGTGGACGTCATATGACGTCCTCCCAGAACGCGCTCTCCTGCGCGCCCCAGGGGGCGCGCACCCGGCGATCTCCGTGTTCGCTGTGTCCTACGGACACAGCTGATCACGTGATGTGGTGAAAGGCCGATCCCACCGGCCTTTTACCACGTGATCAGCGGTGTCCAATGACACGCTGATCACAGGGAAAGGCAAGTGCCGGTTCTCGGCTGCACTTTCCTCACGCTGTCAGATCGTGAGGAAAGTACTGCCGAGAACCGGCAGTTGTCAGAGCGGGGATCGGCACCGATCATCAGGGCACTGATGATCAGTGCCCTGATGATCGGTGCCCAGCAGTGACACCCGCAAGTTCCGCCCAGCAGTGCGCCCACTAGCCCCGCCCACCCGTTCCCAGCAGTGCCCCCACCTGTGCCCAGCAGTGCCCCCACCTGTGCCACTCTGCAGTGCCACCTACATGTGCCCAGAAGTGCCACCTACATGTGCCCAGCAGTGCCACCCACCTGTGCCCACCAGTGCCACCCACCTGTGCCCACCCACCAGTGCCACCCACCAGTGCAGCCCAGCAGTGCTGCCAGTCAGTGCCACCAGTCAGTGCCCAGGGGTTGTGCCAGTCAGTGCCGCCAGTCAGTGCCCAGAAGTGATGCCAGTCAGTGCCGTCTATCAGTACCCATCATCAGTGTCACCTATCAGTGCCGCCTATCAGTGCTGCATATCAGTGCCGCCTATCCGTGACCCCTAATTAGTACTGCCTATCAGTGCCCTTTAGTGCTGCCTATCAGTGCCCATCAGTGCCGCCTATCAGTGCCCATCAGTGCCGCCTCATCAACGCAAATCAGTGAAGGAGAAAAAATACCTGTTTGAAAAATTTTTATAAAAGAAACAAATAAACTTTTTTTTTTTTCAAATTTTTTGCACTTTTTTTAATTTATAGCGCAAAAAGTAAAGCGCCCAGTGGCGATTAAATACCACCAAAAGAAATCTCTATTTGTGAGAAAAAAATGATCAAAATTTCATATGGGTACAATGTTGCATGACCGCGCAATTGTCAATCAAAGTGCGGCAGCGCTGAAAGCTGAAAATTGGCCTGGTAAGGAAGGGGGTATAAGTGCCTGGTAGGCAAGTGGTTAAATACCACCAAAAGAAAGCTCTATTTGTGTGAAAAAAATAATAACAATTTCATATGGGTGCAGTGTTTTTCTGGATTTTGTGTGAAAAAAATATATAAAAATTTCATATGGAAACAGTGTTGCATGACCGCGCAATTGTCATTCAAAGTGCGACAGAGCTGAAAATTGGCCTTGGCAGGAGGTAAAAGTACCCAGTAGGCAAGAGGTTAATAGGATTTGGATCGATGTAATTGAAATAGAATGATAAAATGAATTTGTGATTTTACATTTTCACCATACATATACTTTAAATGATACACACAGCTGGAGGGTTCACAGTACACAAAAGATTCTAAAAAAGAAAAGATGACAAACCTGCTCTAATACATTTTCTAAGTGTTGTTTTTTTTTTTTTAGCAAAAACAGTTCAAACAAATCAGCCGCCAAAAGACATTACAGCTCTCCCGCCAGAAGGTGGCAGCAGCAATCCTGAAGAATTGTTAGGGGAGATCACATGACCAGTCCCGTGACCAGTGACAGCTCAGACTTCCGCCAGCTTCTCATGAGGGCACTCAGCTTGCTTCGCCTGCGAGTTGTCGTTGACTGACGATTGTACACACCTAAGCAAAAGAAAGGTTTCTGGTAGTATTTATAAATAAACTTGGGCGATATGTAGAGTATGTATACGAATGTAACTCTACCCATAACAAAGATGGTGTCGCCAGCCTCAGCCGGGAGACTGTGATGTTTCGTACAACTACTATTAGGGCATAGAAGTACTACCTGCTGAATACCTGTTCGCTGCAACTCACCAAGAAAATGGGCTCTCAGCAAGATGTGCTCACAGACACCACAAAGCTGGCATCTTACACCATGCTTGTGCAGGTACTGTGCCAATACAGAGACTGTATATATGTATATAGGAGCAGGGAATCATCATATGGAAGTCAGTGTTCTAGTCATCTTCCATGTTCAGTAATACATTGTTTATGTATGCCCACAAAGTCCAGAAGTCTTTTGATTTATAAAAGTTACTTAAGGGTTCATGTACGCATTACGTTTCTAAAACTCTTCTCAGCAATGGAAACTGACTGCTGGAAAATGTAGGTTAAAAAACGTCAGTTTAGCTGCGTTTGCATACCGTGTTTATGCGGGTTTGCGTTCAGAAGCGTTTTTAAAAGATAACCTCAGGAGACTTTCCCAAATGCCCAGAATGCATTGAAAAATAGTAAATAATTAACTATTTCAGACATTTTGAGAGAAATAGAGCAGAAGCAGAGAGAGCAGTATGTGTTGAGATGACCTGTCTTTTCTGGTTGTATTCACTATGGATCCCATCATGAGTATAATGCGGCACGTTCTACCATTTTGTCCGTCACACGAAACCTGGAACTGACTGCGCTGGTGCAATGGGTCCATTTGAATACATGGAAAACTCTTTGCATGCATTTTTGATGAAGAGAAAGGCTCTGGACAGCATCTGGACATGGAACAGTTAAAAACCACTTCTAAACGCAAGCGCTTATAAACGAGGTTAACTGCGTTTACAAGCGTTTGAAATGCCAGTAAAATTTACTCCTGAACATAAGTTTGGTGCGTTAAAAAAAACGACTGTAAATTCAACTGCCTGTAAATGACTGTAAACAACTATGTGTACATGGACACATAGGAAAACATTAGGGAGAGTTCAGGGGCTGCTGAAAAAACGCTGAACAGCTGCAGTGTACATAAGCCCTAATGAGGAGGTTGCGTTTCTCATTCTGTCCTTCCTGCAGAGCCGCGTTTTGCTGCGTCTGGATCCACCTCGGATCTGTATGCCGGCAGCCCATAGAAATGGATGGAGACGCAACAGTGTGCACAGTGCCTGCGTTTGGATCCGAACACCCAATCTAGCCACATGTCAGAAATTTGATATACGACTGTGTCTGCATGTACATTCACTTCTAATGGGCTGCCTGCATGAAACTCCAAGATGGAGGTAGATGCAGCAGCCACAGCGGCTCTGCATGGAGGATGCAACTCAGCGCCCATCTGAATGAGCCCTAAGGCAGCAGTGTTTATGCCCCCCCAAAAAAAAATCTATCCGTGTTGGATTGCTTCTCAGAGGATGGTGAGAGGAGGGGAGGTTTGCAGGTGTTCAGGAGGTGATACTGCCGTCTCGTGATGAGTTTTTTTTTTTTCTACTGCTGAGCAGAGATTTTGCCAATCATGTCTGGGTTATAGTAGTTGTGCAGTCCCATTTACTTTGATCAGCAGTGTCATCTGTTAAACTTGGTATGTTGCATTACAATTACGGCACTGCGATCGCAGCCTCAATGTGTAATCTTCCAAGTGGCACCATGTCTGCTTGTGGGTAGGTGGTCAGAGTGGTAAAAACACAAAACAGCTGCCTGTTTTTACTGCCCCCTGGCTGCTCATTGTGAAAGGAGTCTTAGTTAAGAGGGTGAAATTGTTAATCCATTTTTGAACAGCCCACCATTTAGACCAAAGTTAGCAACCTTCTCAAAAAGTACAAGATGTGAACTAGAGATGAGCTTTGGCGTGTTCTCCGCCCCTCAGTCACATGTTTACAAGGGGCGTGTGTACATGCAGCTGCAGAGAATGCCTTGGCTGTTTATGATTGGCACAGTACAGTGACAGCTTCCTGACAGGTAAGTTCGGACTAGGATCCAAACACACCTGAGCTCATTGCTAATCCTTACCTTTAGCTGCGAAGCTGGAAGAAGTATGAATGGACTATAAGTGTGATGATTTTGAAAATACAGTCCCTCTGATGCAGTGGCAGGTGGGACCTATAGTTTTTTCTTTACAGCTGTTAATTCAAATTTGACAGGAACGGGCAGGGCAAAAAATCTCCAGATTCTGTGTGTGTGAGGGAGGGAAGGAATGGTGAACATCTTTTATGTTACACCCTATGGGTGAAACATGGTCAGTAAAGTGGATTTGGCTTTTAACGTAAGAGATTTAGGATGACAGCCAGGTAACTAGCATTTCCAAACAGCTGAGCAGAGGCAGTTTTTATAATTCTCCCCAAATATTCCATTATGATGTAATAGACCGAGATCTGTTGTGGTTTTATACAAATATATTTGTAGCATACACCAAGGTTAAGATGATCTTTTTATCTCTACAGGTTCTCTTTCGTCTCCTTACTTTTGCTTTGAATGCATTTACTCTGCGGTATGTTTCAAAGGAAATCATTGGCATTGTAAATGTGCGGTAAGTACTAAATATTTGTAGATTTATGAACTTGTAGTTTGATTTGCCAAAGAAACAGAATGCTATAGGTTTGTAAAAAAAATACATCGGGACGCTGATAACTTGGGCCCAAAATGCCTGAGGATAAATGAACTGGGCAACCCTATAGTAATGGTGTGTTAGGCCCCTTTCACACGGGCACACTCTGCCAAGCAGAGCCGCCTGCTCAGCGGGGAATCCGTCTGCTGAACGCCGCTGAGCAGCCGAATAACAGGTCCGTGTCTGCTCCGCTTATGCAGAGTGCACAGGGACACAGCCTGGTGTTCTCTATGGGGCGGTCAAATGTAAATGGACTGCCTGTTTGGACCGCCTGTCCATTTACATCCAACTGTTATCCCATTTGATCTGCTAGACAGTTGGGGAACTGATCCCCCATCTGTATGTTTTTAGAGGATCAAATAAAGGTGGGTGTAAATGGATGCATGTTGGTTTTCATCCACCTTCCCATAGAGAACAATGGATGGTCCAATCAGGTCCGCCTGAAAAACAGACAGGCGGATCTCATCTGTCTACCTGTATGAAAAGGCCCTAATATTAAAAGGACATTTACATTTTGCTGAGAAGAGAAAACAATATTCTCTAGGATTTTCTAAGAAACATTATGATTGATCCTTACCTATTTCAGTTTGAAATAATATTGAGGTTGCCTCCACTATGTTTGCTCAGATCATTCAGTTGAATCTAAAATGGAAGATTACATTTTTCCCATAATCGCATGACTAGTCTTCATGTTCTATAAAGAAACATGGCATTTCCAGCATCCACTTATTTGTGCAACTCCAGTATTTTTTTGTTTTCTAGTTTTTTTTAGTGGTGAGGAAGGGTTAGCAAAGAAAAAGGAGAGAAGCGCCTCTAAGTGCAATAAGTCTTTTAATTCAAGTCTAAATGTAGAAACACTCACATGTGTGAAGTAATCATAAGCTTAAAAACCGTGGTTAACAATAGTTAACGGTGAGGTGGTAACCCGGGTGAAGAGCCGTCATCTTACTGCGATGTAGGGAGGTCAGCTCTCGGCTGGAACAGCGTGGTGGCTGGAGGGGAACAGTGGTGAGGCCGGCCTGCATGCACGTCCTCCCTCAGAGCCTGATGGAACGCACGCTGGAAAGTAGCGGCGGCGTGGCCGTGATGACGTCAGATCCCAGGGTGCACTGCGACGCATTTCGGAGCATGCACTGGCCGTGGAAGGCGGAAGTGCACTCCTTTTTCAAGCAGCGAAACGCGTCGCAGTGCACCCTGGGATCTGACGTCATCGCGGCCACGCCGCCGCTACGTTCCAGCATGCGTTCCATCCGGCTCTGAGGGAGGACGTGCATGCAGGCCGGCCTCACCGCTGTTCCCCTCCAGCCACCACGCTGTTCCAGCCGAGAGCTGACCTCCCCACATCGCAGTAAGATGACGGCTCTTCACCCGGGTTACCACCCCACCGTTAACTATTGTTAACCACGGTTTTTAAGCCTATGATTACTTCACACATGTGAGTGTTTCTACATTTAGACTTGAATTAAAAGACTTATTGCACTTGGAGGCGCTTCTCTCCTTTTTCTCATCTACAGAAGTTGCTACAGCTTATTTGGAAGCCTTGCCCTCAGTGCCACACGGAATTCTATGCTCTTCATACAGTAGCCACTAATACCATGATCACCCCATACTACCATTTCCCAGGACTTTGCAGTGTTTGCGCTGTTACAACCCTTCCTCAGGAAGGGTTAGCAACCCTGTCCTGTTGTGTTTTTTTTTTTTCTTCACTAAGTTAAAGAAATAGCCAACTCTGCTTAACCACTTCAAGACTGGACTGTTTTATGCCCTTCCAGTCCAGCAATTTTTCAGATTTCAGCACTGTCACACTCTGAATTACTCATTCATGCAACACTGCCTAAATTCATTTTATATTTATTTTCAGGACAGGTAGAACTTTCTTTTTGTGGTAATTAATCGCCACTGGGTTTTTATTTTTTGCAATATAAAGGAAAAAAGGCTGAAAATGTTGAAGAAAAAAGTTTTTCTTCGTTTGTGTTATAACATTTTGCAAATAAATAATCTATCTTCATAAATTTAGGCCAAAATGCATTCTGCAATATTTCTTTGGTAAAAATAACCCAAATCAGGGTATATTATTTAATCTTTGTAAGTTTATAGAGTCTACAAGCTATGGTATATACAGTGCCTTGAAACCGTATAGGCATAAACATTGTGCAGGCAAAGGGTCAGTCCAGATAGGAGACAGAAACGTGGTTGAGAAAACAAGCAAATGGTCAATACACAGGACCTCAGATATGGGCAAAATGTAGGTAGTCCAATATAACACAAACACTTTTACCATACCTTCACTAATATCATAGTGCGGTATGGTAGTGACATAAGCAGTTTTTTATGCAGAGGCCAGGTTGTGAGGACACCATGGACAATAGTAACATGTCACACCTTACTCCATCTCTGGTGCTCACACAACATTTTTGGGGGAGCAGCCTGTTTCAGTAGGAGGGATGATACCTGGGAGGTATCTCTCATGCAGTCTTTCTGTGGACGTTTGTCCAATCTTTGTGGAAATCCCTTGTAATTTGCTTGTACTGTACCACAAGCTACAGTTTGCTGTAAATAAAGGTAGAAGGGGATACCAATCCGATGAAATAGGGGTGAAATGAGGCCCCACACAACTTTTCCACTGCTACCCATATAAATTGGGCATCCAGGGGGCTCCAGGTGATGGTCTTTCTCTTCAAAAAAATAGAAGTCATATACAGTGGGGATCGAAAGTTTGGGCACCCCAGCTAAAAATGTGTATTAATGTGCATAAAGAAGCCAAGGAAAGATGGAAAAATCTCCAAAAGGCATCAAATTACAGATTAGACATTCTTATAATATGTCAACAAAAGTTAGATTTTATTTCCATCATTTACACTTTCAAAATAACAGAAAACAAAAAAATGGCGTCTGCAAAAGTTTGGGCACCCTGCAGAGTTAATATCTTGTACTGCCCCCTTTGGCAAGTATCACAGCTTGTAAACACTTTTTGTAGCCAGCCAAGAGTCTTTCATTTCTTGTTTGAGGTATCTTTGCCCATTCTTCCTTACAAAAGTCTTCCAGTTCTTTGAGATTTCTGGGCTGTCTGTCACGCACTGCTCTTTTAAGGTCTATCCATAGATTTTCAATTATGTTGAGGTCAGGAGATTGTGAAGGCCATGGCAAAACCTTCAGTTTACGCCTCTTGATGTAATCCCCCGTGGATTTTGAGGTGTGTTTAGGATCAGTATCCATTTGTAGAAGCCATCCTCTCTTTAACTTTAGCTTTTTCACAGATGGCATCAAGTTAACTTTCAAAATTTGCTGAAATTTTATTGAATCCATTTTTCCTTCTACTCGTGAGATGTTCCCTGTGCCACTGGCTGCAACACAACCCCAAAGCATGATTGATCCAACCCCATGCTTAACAGTTGGACAGAGGTTCTTTTCATTAAATTCTGTGCCCCTTCTTCTCCAAATGTACCTTTGCTCATTCCGGCCAAAAAGTTCAATTTTAACCTCATCGGTCCACAGAACTTGTTTCCAAAATGCATCAGGCTTGTCTATATGTTCATTTGCAAAGTTCAAACAATGATTTTTGTGGTGAGGACGTAGAAGAGGTTTTCTTCTGATGACTCTTTCATGAAGACCATATTTGTACAAGTATCTCTTTATAGTGGAATAGTGTACCCCACAACTCCAGTGTCTGCCAGATCTTTCTGGAGGGATCGTGCAGTCAAACGTGGGTTTTGAATTGTTTTTCTCACAATCCTGCGAGCTGTTCTGTCTGATATTTTTCTTGGTCTTCCAGATCTTGGTTTAACTTCCACTGTTCCTGATGACTGCCATTTCTTAATTACATTCCGAACAGAGGATATTGACATCTGAAAACGCTTTGCTATCTTCTTATAGCCTTCTCCAGCTTTGTGAGCGTCAACTCTTTTCAGTTTCAGTTTTCTAGACAACTGCTTAGAAGAACCCATGGTGCTGATTGTTGGGGCAAGGTCAGATGAGTCTGGGCATTTAAAACCTTTGAGATTGACATCACCTGGTCTTCCCAGACGATGATTGAGAACAATCCATGACACTGGCAAGTCTCAGCTTGGCAAAGGGGGCAGTGCATGCTATAAATTCTGCAGGGTGCTCAAACTTTTGCAGACGCCATTTTTTTGTTTTCTGTTATTTTGAAAGTGTAAATGATGGAAATAAAATCTAACTTTTGTTGACATATTATAAGAATGTCTAATCTGTAATTTGATGCCTTTTGGAGATTTTTCCATCTTTCCTTGGCTTCTTTATGTACATTAATACAAATTTTTAGCTGGGGTGCCCAAACTTTCGATCCCCACTGTATGTGTACTGTGGCTCTCTCGCAAAGTTTATATAACTTCACATCCATGTCTGGCTGAGGGTAGACTTTTTGATACCCAGCCCTCCTGTAAAATAGATTGGGTACTCATAAATGCTAATTTGTTTTGTCGAGAGTATAAATCTGAGAACATTATGGGGAAAAAAAATTGATAAGTGGCCTAATTTTGTAAAGTTTAATGTATGGAGGGTGATTTTGTTGAGGGCACAGGGAATTGTCCCTAAAATAGAGAAATCTCATAATCATTAATTAGTGTGGCCTGGAGGAATACAGTGGTATATGGTGATAGGTGTATTTGGACCAATAGGAATGAAAAAAGACCCATGATTAGGGTAAGACCAAGAACGATTTTCAATTTAACTGTGATGGGTTTCTACTCTGATAAAGTCCTGATTTGTCCGCAGTTTTTTTTCTATTGAGTCTCCTTTTGGGATAAGGTACCCTTATACATGTTTATATTTTGGCAGAAGCCCAATACTTTACTTCGCTTCCACTCAAAAGGATAGGAATAACATGAGTTGGGATTATTGGCAATGTGCTGCTGGTCATACAGATTACATTGGTCCACAAATAAGTATTTGTGGAGGGGGGATGACAGGTGCTGACGAATTAGAGGGAAGCCATAAAGGATTGGAAAGTGCCTCTGGGACACTAGTATAGGCCATAATCCTTTGTGCTAATGTGACACCCCTATACTTGTACTTGGCCTTTCATCAGGGTGTACTGCGTTGCTGGTGCTCGACATTTCACCTGAATGTACTGTGCTGCTGGTGGTTGTCTGTTGCTATTCAGAATGTCTGATTCTTTTTGTTGGGACCTTTTCATCCTCTCATTACTGAACCACTGCTTTTCATAGGTTCGATCGAGAATTTGAATCTGAAAGTGAGTGTTCTTCCTCACTACTCTCATCTGTTATGCTCAGAATCTAAAAAGCCTCCTTGCTTGTGTACCTTTTTTTTGGACATGGCGTTCAGATTACTTTCACTCAGGTGGCACTGTACTGGTGTGATGGTGATCAGGAGCATGGTTGCTGGTGTGCAGTGGTCTGCCACTGGTACAGATACTGCTGGCTGCGTGTGACGGTGATCAGGTACTGATGTGATAGACACTGGTGCAAATGTTGCTGGCTGCACTAGTGACACTGTAGTGGTGTGATGGTGATTAGGTACTAGTGTGACGGTGACGGTGACACTGGTAGAGGATTTGCTGGCAGCACTAGTGACACCAGATGTAGCTAGCAATTAGTGACACAGTGGATGGCTGCACTAATGTGTGACACTTACACTGGTGTGGCTTAGCAATGGGGCACTGTAGATGACTGCTGTGTTGTGTGTTTCACAGTAAAATGACAGTGTAACTCACCGCAGGCACTGATTGATTGACTTTCCTTTCTCTCACACCTCTCTCTGTGTGATAGGAAGGAGAGTCAGCAGCTGTAACATGCGGCCTTTGTTTATGATAGCTGTGATAGGTCACAGAAATCACATGGTACAGTGCCCCTGAGGACATGCATGAACATCTAGAGTAGGAGAATGTACCAGTACATCCCCCCCCCCCCCCAAAATGACAAAGCTTCTGTCTGTCTATATAAAAATATTGTGGCCGAGCATGAGGAGATTAAACACTATCTGCTCTATTTAAAAAGAAATGTTGTGCAAATGATCGTCAGCGCCAACTAGTGGCCCGATGCAGTATCATCCTGAAATACCGCAGACAGGAAAATACTATATGTGGCCTCTGGATGGAGCTGAAGATCATAGGGAATAAATAGAAAACAACATTTCACACAAAATACAAACATTATGAGGATTATTTGTAATATCTGTGCAAATGCTGAGACATTTGCGAACACATTTTTTTTTAAATAAATAAAGCCTTATATAAAGTTAAAATATAAAATAGAAGCCTTATTAAAACAGCTGTTAGTAGCATATATTTGCTGGATCCCACCAAACGTTATGCGCGCACTACTTTTAAAAACTTACTACAACCAGGTCATATGTACGAATGCTGCCATTGTGATCTGATGCAGGCAAATATGCACTGCATTTATGATCTGCTTTTGGGGTGGTGTTAAGAATCTGTTGACACCTGCAGCAGATCACACACTCGTGTGCTTTGGACCGTGGTGTGAGTAACATACATAGAAAGTGGGTTTGCCACCATGGTATAGCAGGCACATATCAGAAATATCAAATATTGGGTTTTACATGTTGTTTAACCACTTGTCCACTGGGCACTTTCTCCACCTTTCTGCTAAGGCCAATTTGCAGATTTCAGTGCTGTCACATTTTGAATGACAATTGCGCGGTCATGCAACACTGTAGCCATATGAAGTTTTTACCATTTTTTTTTAAATAGATAGAGCTTTCTTTTGGTGGTATTTGATCTCCACATTTTTTGCAATATAAGAGAAAAAAAATAAAGAAACATTTAAAAAAAAGTTTTTTTTCTTTTAAAAATTTTATAAATAAGTGATTTTTCTCCTTCACTCATGTGCGCTGATTGGCTGTGCTGGTGAGGCTGCTCTGATAGGCGACACTGATAGGCAGCACTGATGGGCATTTATAGGCAGAATTGATGGGCGCTGATTGGCCCTTATGGGGCTACACTGATAAACAGGTCACTGACGGTCATTTCCCTGATTATCTGTGTAGATTTTCCTGTGAGAATCGCTGGTTACTGGCTCTCTTCTTCTCATGTCGTCACAGCGCATGAGGAGAAGACTGCTGATAACGGACAAGTCTCTTTACACTATGATCAGCTGTAATTGGACACAGCTGATCATGTGGTGATTGGCCCTTTACCTCTCTCTGTGATCAGCTGTGTCCCAATGTGTGCTCAGGGGGCGCACAGGGGGGGTGGGGTTCTGGGAGGACGTCAGTAGATGCCCTCTAAGAACCAGCCAACCGTGCTATAGTCCTCTTTCGGCTATAGCCCGGGCAAAGTGTTTAAGCTTTGGCAATAAAACCTGGAAGCTGATTGGTTTCTATGCAGAGCTGCACCAGATTTTTCACTCTCCAGTTTTATTAAAGCGGAGCTCCACCCAAAAGGGGAAGTTCCGCTTTAAGGACTGCTCCCCCGCTCCCCATTAAGGATTGGCACCTTTGGGGAGTGGGTACTTAAATTTGACAGGTACCCGCTCCCACTTCCGATCGCCTAGAGGACCATTCACGAAGTGCAGTGCTACTCGCACATGCACAGTGGGTACCCGGCTATGAAGCCGCAAGCTATCACAGCCGGGTGCCCTCACTGGAGATGCCAGCCTCCTGGAATCCAGGACGTCTGGTGAAATGAGCTGCAGGGGAGACACACCACGGAACCGAGGGACAGGTACATGGCTGTTTTTTAAAAGTCAGCAGCTACAGTTTTTGTAGCTGCTGACTTTTATTTTTTGATAGGTCGAGTGGAACTCTGCTTTAAATAGTCACTCATGTGTCCTAAAACTGATGCATTTCAAAACTTGGTCTGGTCACAAAAGTTTTTGATAACCCCAGACATGAAAGGTTAAAGTGGAACATAAGCCAATGGTTTTTTTTTTTTTTTTAATTTTGGAAAGGGTGGGGAAGAATTTGAATTTCTTTCAGGTTATTATTTCTGTTCCACTTTAGGTATAGAAATAAAATACTGTAGTCGATAAATAAACGTATTTGTTTTTTATTATTCATTTTTATTTTTTTAGGCTGACCCTTCTTTATACCACAGTAGTGTTCCTTGCCCGAGAAGCCTTTCGTAGAGCGTGCCTGAGCCACTCCACACAGCAGAGCTGGACACAGACTATACACCTCACCTGGCTTGCGTGAGTATCACCACATAAAAGTCTCCAGGCTGTGCTATCAGATCTCTGATTCCATTGCAGAATAGGCAGGCATATCCTTGTCATTTAACTCAAATTCGTGTATTCTGTTCACTTCTATTTACTGCCCTAGCTAGCTACTGTATTTAGAACAAGGTCATTTTGGTGATTGTTGAATGACAGGAGACAATACTCTGGTCTTTCATGAACCTCATCATTATTTTCCAAGTATTTTCTACTGGCACTGCCTGTCAATGCTTGGTCTTTATAGTTGTCTCCTTGGTGCACTCTATAGAACCTTTTGTTACCATTTTATTATTTCTTATCTATGCTGACCACGGTCAGATCAGCCACATTATATCACATTATGGTCACAAAATAGAATTGTTCTTTTTCGGTGACCCTATTTTAAGAGATAATTTAATCTGATTATGCACTAAGGATTTTATTAGGCAAGAAATTAAAATAGCAGCCCCTAAGAGATTAAAGCTTATGCAGATTGATGCAAGATTTATTATTAGGTGTAGGTAGCCTGGGCTGATATGCAGCTAAGACAGAGACATCCCCATTATTGTTAGAAATACTCATCTTCTTTAACTATATAGATATACTGCTACACGGCGGCATGGATGCGCAAAATGATGTATATATACGTGATTTTGCATTTCCGGGTAGGGGGCACGCGCGAGCTGCATGCGCGCCCTACCTGTGCCGCCATTTGTGGCCACGGATGTCAATCACTGGGTCCTGGCCGGTGATTACCTGCCGGCGCCCGGTGATTATAGACAATCATCGACTGGGAGGAAGACTGTTTTATTCACAAAAAGTCTTTCTCCCTGTCAGCTCGGGCACAGTGCTCAGGATGGCTGTGCACAGCACAGCCATCCTGATCAGTGTGCGTACTGTGAAGCACACACCCCCTGTCCCCTAGTAAAACACTCCCTACACACAGTTAAACCTTTGATCGCCTCTCACATTAACCCCTTCCTGCCCAGTGTCATTAGTACAGTGTCAGAGCTGTTTTTAGCATTGATCACTGTATTGGTGTCACTGGGGATGTCAGTGACACCAAGTTAGTCCCCCCCCCCCCCCCCCGTGTCAGAATGCCCGCCTCTGTCCCTCTAAAAGTCACTGATCGCCACCATTATTAGTAGGGAAAACAAAATCCCAGTATATATACCGCCATTTGAAAACGCTATAACTTTCATGTAAACCAATTAATTTACACATACTGGGATTTTTTTTTTTTAGCAAAGACATGTAGCAGAATACATTTTGGCCTAAATTTATGACGAAATTTAATTTTTTTTTTTTTTTTTGGACATGTTTAATAACAAAGTCCAAAATATTTTTTTTTTCTCAAAATTGTCAGTCTTTTTTTGCTTATAGTGCAAAAAAAAAAAAAACACACAGTTGATCAAATACCACCAAAAGAAAACTCAATTTGTGGGGAAAAAAGGACGTAAATTTAATCTGGGTGCGGTGTTGCTTGACCGCGTAATTGTCAGTTAAAATAACGAAGCGCCATAACGTAAAAAATGGCCTGGTCAGGAAGGGGGGTAAATCCTCTGGAGGGCAAGTGGTTAAAGTTATTTAAATGTTGTCTTTGTTTAGTGAGCTACATGAGGACAAATAAAATAAAAAAAGTTTTTTGTAAAGTAATTATCATAGCAGAAAGTGTGTACCCACAGGCTTGAGTAAGGGACATTCAGCGAAGTACTGTATGTACCCTAATTCTTCTGTGAACTCATGAATGTTGCAAATTGTTAGGCCAATTTTCTTGCAATGTTTTACATAAAGGGTATGCATTTCCCATCTGACCATTTGAAAAAATTCTTAGGTCTTCTATCGTCTGACATACTGTGTTGTGCAATGGTTTAGTGTTCCATTAGGAATCGGCTGGTCGTTCATTCTAGGGTGGATATGGCTTAGAGTTTTGGAAGTCCCGGACCCTGAAATCATCCCACATTATGGCATTGGAGTTTTGGCTTTTGGAGTGTCAGCTGTGGTGGAACTTCTAGCAGAACCATTTTGGGTACTTGCACAAGCTCATCTTTTCGTAAGGTTAAAGGTATGTTAAGTATATAAACAGATGGTTACTATAAAGTGGACTTTCTGTGACCAAAAGACATTGTAGGCTACGTTCACACTAGCCTTGTTTTCAAGCGACAGAAAGGCATTTGAGAAGCGTTTTTACCGCTTCCCAAACGCCTCGGACAATTCTGCCCTTTGCAGCACATGGTGCTGTTCTAATGGGAGCGGCAGCGTCGCGGTGCGGCAAAACGGATGCCTCTGGTCGAGTCTGGAGGCGTTGAAGCCTCCTATTCTAGACTATGGTGCCACTCCGCAAGCGCCCGGCCGGCGTTTGCGGTGCGGTTGCAGGGCGTTTGCGGAGTGGTAACACCATCCAAACTTCATTTTAGGCGTTTGTGGGGCGTATTTAACGCTCGGCAAATGCATAGCAACTGCCACTGAATCGCGCATGCGGCGTTTGCGGAGCGTTAAAGAAACAGTCAAGCAGTCAAGTGTAAACGTGCCCTAACAGTTATGACTGTGGCCATTTGAACTGCTTGAATAGACTGGTCTCTGATCTACTAAGCAAACCTGAAGTTCATTATACTCAGCTAATCCACATCTATCAAGTACTTGTTCAATGCTCCCGGGTACATAGAATACCTGCATACTCTAAAATACACTTCCTTCCTCGGTTGATTGGGCTTGGAGTTGGGCCCATCCCTTCTTGTTTTCTAAATCTCATTGTTGGCTATTAAGGCAGCCCATGATAGTAATGGGCTAATATTCTCATTATGTATTGTAAGGCAGGATCTCAATCCATGGGAACTAGGAGGGAAGAATATATCAGAAATACTGTGCGTGCATACACACTGAGGAAGAGCAGGGGACTAAAAGTTATTAAATATAGAGATATAGCTAGTCAGGTTGAAAAGACACTAGTCCATGTAGTTCAACCAATAAAATAAAAAACAAACAAAACAAAAACAAACACACAGCCTCCATATACACTATCTTATACCCACAGTTACTCCAGAGGAAGGTAAAAAAGAACAATAAAGCATGATGAAATTTGCTCCAGTGGAGGAAAAAAAAAAATCCTTCCTGATTCCCCAGGATCCTCTGGCGTTGTTACCTCTAAAAAATAGTATCCAGTTTTATTTTGTGCATTTAGAAATGAATCCTGTTCGTTTTTTAAATCTACTTAGCTGGTCAAAACCAGTACTTAAAGAGAGTTTATTCAAATGCTTCAAATCGATTGTATGCAAACACACTGCAAAATATGTTCCCATGGGCAATAAGTTTAAAAGAGTAAATATAAAACCTATGAGACTCATGTGCAATGTTAAAATAACTATGAAAAATAAGAAAAGAGCATTTAAAAAATATAAAAATGAAGAAACACACGTCGTCCAGATGTGAGGAGTGCCCCCTTGTCCTCTGTAATGACCTAAAAAGGGAATAACTCTACACACAGGGGTGGCCTCCAGCTGTTGGTGAACTACAAGTCCCATCATGCCTGTGCCTTTGGGAGTCATGCTTGTAACTGTCAGTTTTGCAATGCCTCATGGGAATTGTAGTTCTACAACAGCTGGAGGGCCACAGTTGCCCACCCCTGCTCTACACCAAGTTCATTCTGTGGACCACTTATGTATTATATATATATATATATATATCATATTCCATTAATCACCTCTTCTCAAGAGCCTTTCCTCATAGCCGAGCTCTTCCATGCCTCTTATCAGCTGGGTTGCCCTTTTCTGCACTTTCTCCAGCTCTCTGATATCACTTATGTGAACTGGTGTCCAAAACTGAACAGCATATTCCAGATCAGCTGTTACTAATGAATGGTACAGGGGAAAAAATGATCCATAAATCTTTTCAAGGCTGGTTCAAGGCTTTGTGTGTGTGTGTGTGTGTATGTATATATATATATATATATATATATATATATATATATATATATATATATATATATATATATTATTATTTTTATTATATGCACAGACACACACATACATACACTATATTGCCAAAAGTATTGAGACGCCTGCCTTTACAGTCTTAGTCTGTTGTGTTCAATATTGAGTTGGCCCACCCTTTGCAGCTATAACAGCTTCAACTCTTCTAGGAAGGCTGTCTACAAGGTTTAGGAATGTGTCTATGGGAATGTTTGACCATTCTTCCAGAAGCGCATTTGTGAGGTCAGGCACTGATGTCGGACGAGAAGGCCTGGCTCTCAGCCTCCGCTTTCATTCATCCCAAAGGTGTTCTATCAGGTTGAGGTCAGGATTCTGTACAGGCCAGTCAAGTTCCTCCACCCCAAACTTGCTCATCCATGTCTTTATGGACCTTGCTTTGTGCACTGCTGTGCAGTTATGTTGGAACAGAAAGGGGCCATACCCAAACTTCCCACAAAGTTGGGAGCATACAATTGTCCAAAATGTCTTGGTATGCTGATGCCTTAAGAGTTCCCTTCACTGGAACTAAGGGGCCAAGCCTGGAAAACCCCCCCCCATACCATAATCCCCCCTTCACCAAACTTTACACTTGGCACAATGCAATCAGGCAAGTACCGTTCTCATGGCAACCGCCAAACCCAAACACATCCATCAGATTGCCAGACAGAGAAGCATGATTCCTCAGTCCATAGAACATGTCTCCACTGCTCTAGAGTCCAGTGGCAGCTTGCTTTACACCACTGTTTCCGACGCTTTGCATTGCACTTGGTGATGTAAGACTTGGATGCAGCTGCCCGGTCATGGAAACCCATTGCATGAAGCTCTCTATACACTGTTGTGGTAATCTGAAGGCCACACGAAGCTTGGAGGTCTTTAGCCATTAACGTTGTAGACAGTTGGTGACTTCTGTGTGATTTAGCATGTGCTGCCTCCGTTCTGTCCTTTTACGTGGCCTACCATTTCGTGGCTGAGTTGCTATTGTTCCCAGTTCCTTCCACTTTGTTATAGTACCACTAACAGTTGACTGGAAAATTTAGTAGCAAGGACATTTCACAGATAGACTGCACAAGTGGCAACCTATCACGGTACCAGTCTTAAATTCACTGAGCTCCTGAGAGTAACCCATTCTTTCACAAATGTTTGTAGAAGCAGTCTGAATGCCTAAATGCTTGATTTTATACACCTGTGGCCCCTGTTTTTAACGCATACTATTAGGTTATTTTGGTTTGTTTGCAAGCTGGCTGGCAAGCTGAGCTGGGATCTAAAAAGTCTGACCTGTCCTTTGAGGACTCCGGTAACATCAGCGATCAGATGGACCATAGGTATGAGACGCTGCTCCACAGAGCCTGGGATGCCAATGTCGCTACTATGGCCCCAGCTTTGGTATCCACCTGCATCGCTAGAAATGCTGACGCTTGGATACATAGAGCAATTGACCATGTCTGAAGAGGTATTGGATTCCCTGGAGGCAGTCAGTAAGGTAGTAGCGTACCTAGCAGATGCTATGTTGGAGATGGTTAGAACATCGGCTAAGATTGCAGCTCTTCTTAACTCAGCCCGGAGGGCAGTATTGGTTAAAACTTGGGAGGGTGATCAGATGTCTAGAGCCCGTCTCTGTGGTTTAACCTTTGAGGGTTCCTTTTTGTTTGGCCCGGGGCTGGACCAGGTGTTATCTAGGTCCACCGAAAAGGTAAAGAAGAAGTTGCCTATCAAGGCCAAAAAAAGATAAGAGGAAGAAGTTTTTTTCGTGCCCCCTTTAATCAGGACCAAAAAAGGTTTAGGAAGGACTCCCCTAAGAAATGTGCCAACAAAGGGAGACTGAAAAGAAGCTTCCTGTTTTTCTGGCTCCAAACCCACCAGTAAAGGACCCCAGATGACATAGATCTCAGGGTGGGAGGAAGGCTGTCCAGATTCCTTCAACAGTGGGGGAAGATTACGGAGAGCCCTTATATCCTGTAGTTAGGGGAGGGGTACCAGTTGGAACTCTCCTCACTCCCCCCCTCATCATACCTTTTCTGCTGACTTATCCCCCCAGAGACAGGACAGAGACAGAGGGTGTTTTGGGATGGATCAGGAATTTAGCGTATCAGGAAGTAATTGTTCCCGTAACAAGGGACCAACTTTTTCAGGGATTTTATTCCCACGTTTTCGTGGTCCTGAAACCTTCAGGGAAATTCTGCTTGATCATAAACCTAAGAAGGTTCAACAGCTAAAGTACAAGAAGTTCCCTATGGAAAGTATCTACAGTGCACGGAAGCCTCTGCTCAAGGGAATCTTTATGGCCACTGTGGATCTCCACTGTCCCATTGCCCCGGAATACCAAGCCTTCTTACATTTTGCCATCTTCACAGAGTAGGGAGTCAGTCACTGGCAGTTCTGAGCTCTCTGCTTTGGACTAGCGGCCAGTCCGAGGAATATTTACCAAGATCCTGGCTGATGTGGTAGCCTATTTACACCTTTAGGGAATTTCCCTCATTCCTTACCTAGACGATCTGATGATCTACGGAGTCTCACTGCACCAAGTCTTGAGAGACCTGCAAAAGGTGTTCCTCACCTTGGTATCTTTGGAGTGGATTGTCACTTGAGAAAAGTCCTCATTGATTCCCTCCCAAACCAAGGTGTTCCTAGGGTATGTAGTAGACTCCAGAGTCCAGAAACTACTTTTATCCCAAAAGAAGACCAAAAAGGTAGTGAGGATGGTCTCCGCATTTGTAGCACCTATAGATTGCGCCTGCAGGCACATCATGAGGGTTCTAGGTCTCATGACAGCCTGCATTCCAGCCGTGGAGTGGGCACAATTACATTCCAGGGAGCTTTAATTGTTCTTTCTATCCTCCTGGAACAGGAAAGAGGAGTCGCTGGACAAGAGGGGTTCCCTCCCAGAGAGTGTGAAGACCTCTCTGGGATGGTGGCTCAGGCCCCAGAATCTGGGGTAAAGGGGACCGTGGGTGCAGTGGGACCCAGTTCTGGTAACCATTTTGAGCTTCCCCTTTTTCCTTTGCAGGGGTGTAGAAATTTTTTATATAAACGAATTGTCCAGGGAATAAATCAGGGGCCCCAACCTACTTGCCCAGATAATTTTTTTTTTTTTTAAACAAAACCGTATTTAAATCAAAGGTGATTTTAGGAATGTCTAGGGCTTTTAAAAAGAAAAGGGGCTTTATGGCGACTTAAACATTTAATATTTTTAACATTGCGCTGTTTATCTCCTCCTCCCCTCCCTGCCTCTCTCCAGCACTGCACCTGGGGACTCGCAGGGAGAGGAGAGACCTTGCAGTGTAATGAACAACGATTGGCTGCTTGTCAGGAAAGCGTGGGTCAGGGCTTATACTTTATCCCTTTCACTGCCAGAGCCATGTTTACTTTTTCCCTGCCAGAGCCATTATTGCGTTTTTTGCACACATTTAAAAAATCATTTTAGGCCTGAAGATTACATAAAACCCTCAAACATATATTTTCTTAAAGCAAAGAGAATAAAATAGTGGTTGTTCCAATTTTTTATGGCCCATGATTTTACCGCTAAATTTTTGCGGTAAAATCATGTAAATTACCCTTTTTTTTGTAAAATATAAAAGATGAGGTTGCACCGAGTAAATATATCCAACTTGTCAAACCTTAAATTTGTGCGCGCTTGTGAAATGGCGACAAACTTCAATATCCTATATTTTCTATAGGTCGATACGTTTAAAGCTCCTTATAGGTCACCAGTTTAGTGTTACGGAGGAGGTCTGGTGCTAGAATTATTGCTCTCATTCTGGTGTGCGTGGTGATATGTGACGTGTATCGCAATTGACGGTTTCATACGTAGGCGACCCAGCGTGTGCTTTTAGGTTTGTACGTACGTATATGTGGGAGTGGGGGCCTTCAATCTTTTTTTTTGGGGGGGGGGGGGGGGGGGGGGTGGTATGTGATTGGGTGTAACTTTCATTTTTTACAATTAAAAAAAAGCAAAAAAAAATTTTAGTGACAGGTTCTCTTTGAGACATCCAAGGTCTTAAAGACCCTGCATTTCTCCCCTCTGCTCCACTGAATGTAATGTGGTGCATATCGCACCATATGACATTCTTTCCCGGGGATTGCATTACAATCTCTCAACGGGGACCCGGAAGTGACATCGTAACGTCACTTCCGGGTCGGCACAAGAAGGGGAGGAGAGCGGACTTGCCGGACGAGCCGGGCCCACAGATGGGCAAACGGAGCTTGGGAAACCTCACGGGGGGGCGCGGAGAGGCTAGCACTGTGTGGAAGCAGTCGGTGGCAGCATTGCCGGCGAATGCTTCCACCTGACAAGTGAGCCTCCTGCTTGCCCGCAGCAGGGTTAAAGGAAGAAAAAAACTACCTGCAGGGTGTCAGGAGATAGGAATCTAACATCCCTGCTTTGTATACACAGGGTTGAAGAAGGTATTTAATATGTCCCCAGTATCCAAGTCAAAATTATCTAGTAAAGAGCCCACATGCTTAGACCTGACTTTTTGTTAATATATATGAAGAATTTTTGGGATTTATCCTACTCTCTTTGCAACCTGTTCGTGTTCAGTTTTGCAGCCTTGCTTACCTTTTTTACATATTCCATTATATTCTTTGTAACATTTAAACTATGATAATGTTCCTTCAATTTTGATAGTTTTTAAAATATTATTACTCTCTTATTACTAATAGGTATTTTTTGGAGCGTGAGCCACATAAATTTTATGTTTAGCCTTTTAAACTTCTTGCCCAAGGGAATATATTTTGTAGTATGTTTGCATACAGTCGATTTGAAACAGACCTACTGAAGCAGGTCCAGCAGAACATGATTTCTAGTTGGGGCTGCTGTGAACTGTACCATTAAAATTGTCTTGCAATGGGTTTATACTGCACATTTCCTTTTTTACTGTTCCAGCAAGGCCATTACTCCAGTCAATTTTAGGGTAGTTAAAAAACCTTCTATTATTACTGTCCCAGCCCTTGCAGCCCTTTCTATCTGTGCAAGTAGTCTCACACTTGTAATCTGGACCGTCAGTGGATTCCTGCACCTGGGATCACAGGCATGTGAACGGTCATGGCCACCCCGCCTGTACAAAGCAGTGACAGGCTAGCAGGAGCTGTAGCTATTCACTGATGTTTGCATGTATCTGCACTTCCAGGGTTACCTGTGGTTAGGGACAGATGATCGGTCCTGGTTGCAATCTGTCTACATCCAGGGTTGGTCATCTGTACCTAGCTACAGGCTGAGCTGATACAGCTGTTTGCACACTTACTGTACTTGTAATTCCAGCAGCAGAAATTCACTAACTAACTTAATCACAGGTGTGAATAGGACCTTACTGGTGATTTCAATTGATTATTATTATTAAATATAAATATTTATTTTAATTGAATATTTATTTTTTTGCCAGGTAGTTGCTGAGAGTCTTGCAATTATCCTTCGTTGCTCAGTCACTGTAATTCTGGTGCTTCTTTTTCCTCAATGGGGACTTCTCATATTTTCATTCACACAAGTAAGGCATATGTCTATAAAAAAAAGATCACAATGTATTTAAAAATATTTGGGAGTTGTCATTTAATTCGTATATTTGCCTTTCCAGCTTTCTTTCCAATCGGATCTTGTAAATGTGATTTCTTCATCATACATTGTAAGATACAGGGAGTTTATATTCATGACTACTTTGGTTTGGTTAGGATATCAACTTCAGGTGAATTGACACTGGAATCCCAGGCTAGTCATAACTACTTCCAGCTCCGGTAGGCCTCAGTTTTGTGCTAGTGACTATAGGTGATAGATGGACTCCCCTGTGTCTTTCTGAAGATTTACAGGGCTTTGTTCCCTCTTGTATGTTCCTTACAGTGATTGGTATATTGTATGAGTTGTGTCTTACGATGGACATATTATACAAGTTAAAGCAAACACCTGAAAGACAGTGTGTGTAATGTACTTTGTATTCAGGGTTGGAGGTGCCAGAATGTCTGGGGTGGGCTGCCTGGCTTGTCTGGGTACTTGGCTGTTGATTAGCTTACTATTAATTAGATCACTGTTAGCAGTTGGCTTTACTGTTTACCATTTGCTCTGCTAATGGTTATTGGGTAATGTGATCAAGCTGTTACCTAATCAGCGTGGGATGTTTATCCCAATGTGTAACATTTGTTTTTATTGTTCATGTGGGGGACTACCCCTATTTCTGAAGTGTTTACAAACCTGTATTTCTGTTCCATAAAGGAGTTTCAGTTTTACACCTAAGCTAGTGTCCCCTAGTCTTGGGTGCAATGCCCAGTTATAATACTTTGGTCCTGTTTCACAGCAACAAGGAAGCAGTTCTCTGAGGTATTAAGCCAATCGGGGTGACAAGTGGTCCGTCACATTTACCCAACCAGAATAGGCGTTCTTGGAAGGCGGTAGAAAGCTATCCCCTAGTCCCCTCCAAAATCCCCTGTCCTGGTTGGGTCTGTCACACTTACTCTTGGAAAAAGTTGGACTGTCTAGATGGGTTGCAACAGCTAATAAACCAAGAGGGATTGTACTCAAACCCTGATCGCTGCTCCGCTGCCCAACCCATACGTCGGTTCTGGGCCCACCCCTGGTCACCCTGCACCCAGCTACCGGGCACCCAGCTACCGCCCCTGGACACCCACCGCCCAGCTACCGGGCACCCAGCTACCACCCAGCTACCGGGCACCCAGCTACCACCCCTGGTCACCCAGCTACCGGGCACCCTGCTACCACCCCTGGACACCCAGCACCCAGCTACCGGGCACCCAGCTACCACCCCTGGACACCCAGCACCCAGCTCCGGGCACCCAGCTATCACCTCTGGTCACCCAACACCCGGACCACCCAGCGAATCAAGATGTCGCCCAGCGAATCTCCCGGACCACCCAGCGAATCTCCAGCCACCGAGCCGCCAACATCACCAGACGCTGTGCCTACCAACACCCCCAGACACATCGCACCCTACGACCCCTCCACTCGCCGATCCACTGGACCCACTGAAGACCCCTCGGACGCCAGCATACTGCACTCACAGATTGCAGCTACAGAAGGACTCTAATGGACTTCACGGTGATACTGACTCTCCACATCACCTCGCCCTGACCCGTATCCCTTCACCTCCCCCGACCCGAACAGCACTGCACTCACCCCAGCATGCCACCTGCACTTCTCCTCCTCGTCTTCCTCTCCTCCATCCCAAAAATCGCCTCCCTCTACCCGCCCACCCCCCCCCAAAACAGCTCTACATTGCCCCTTCACGTCTGCCCTCTCCACACTACGGCACTCACCACCTCCTCCTGGTACTCCACTCCCCGGTCGACCCACGTGCCACCACTACCAAACCCACACGCTCCTACACCTCCCATTCCCATGCCACCCTCCTCACCCTTCTCCTCCTCCTATCCGCTGGGGACATCTCCCCGAACCCTGGCCCCTCACCACCTCTCCCCCCCCTCCAGGGACCCCCCTGCCCCCGCCAGCCGCCGCAACCCCCTCAACCTCATACCTGTGCGCCTCCTCCCCGCATCCATCCCCCCTCTCTCGGTTGCACTTCTGAACGCCCGTTCGGTTTGCAACAAACTAACTGCCATCCATGACCTCTTTATCTCCCGCTCCCTCAACCTCCTAGCCATCACCGAAACCTGGATACAGGCCACTGACACTACCTCCCCTGCGGCACTCTCCCATGGAGGTCTCATCTGGTCCCATTCACCAAGACTGAGCGGTCACAAAGGTGGTGGTGTCGGCCTGCTCTTATCACCGCTGAGCACCTTCCAGGTCCTCCCTAACCCCCCCTCCCTAACCTTCTCCTCCTTCGAAGCTCACTGCATCCGGCTCTTCTCACCCACCCCCCTAAGGATCGCAGTGATCTACAGGCCCCCTGGATCCATAGCCCGCTTCCTGGATGACTTCGCCGCCTGGCTTCCCTTCTTCCTCTCCTCTGAGCTACCGACCATCATCCTCGGGGACTTCAACATCCCCATCAATGACAACACCCCAGCTACCTCCCAACTCCTCCACCTAACCTCCTCCTTCGCGCTCACACAACACACCCAATCCTCCACCCACATCAATGGGAACACCCTGGACCTCGTCTTCTCCCACCTCTGTACCCTCAACCAGTTCTCTAACACACCCTTCCCTCTCTCTCGACCACCACCTCCTTACGTTCTCCACCTCCCCTTCCCCCAACTCCCCCCCCCCAGTGCGCCAAACCATCACCAGCCGCAACCTCCGCAACCTGCACCCGGCCCCCCTCCACTCGGCTGCCGACCGCCTACACGACAGCATCCTTCCACTGTCATGTCCTGACCTAGCCACCTCCACGTACAACGACTCACTATCAGCTACACTAGACTCTCTGGCACCCCTAACCACACGCAACATCAAACCCAGACCACTCCAACCCTGGCAGAACGACCACACTAAACGCCTCAAACGCCGCAGTCGTGCGCTGGAGAGACTATGGCGCAAAACCAGGTCCCCTCATACATTCTCCCTCTACAAATCTGCCTTCCTCACCTACACCTCCTCCCTCCACGCCGCCAAGCAGGCCTACTTTGTTAACCTGATTAACACCCTCTCCACCTGCCCTCGCCGACTCTTCTCCACCTTCAACTCCCTGCTCTCTCCCCCCTTCCTCCACTCAGTACCTCACTTACCGCCCGCGAGATTGCCACTCACACTCCACAGCAAGATTGACGCTATCCGCAAGGACATAGTCAACTTGCAATCTACCTCCCCATCTAGCCTCCCCCCTTCTATCACCCCCTCATCTCTCCCCTCCTCTGACCTCGCAACGGCACTGCCCCCCACCACACACCCAAGGCCCTGCCTACCGTAACCCCCCCATCACTGCACTCCTTCAGCCCTACTACCACTGAGGAAGTCAGCAGAGTCTTCTCAGAAGCCCGTCTCACTACCTGCCCCCTGGACCCTATCCCCTCTCAACTCCTCCGGTCACCCCCCTCTTCCCTCATCCGCTCCCTTACCCACATCTTTAATCTCTCCCTCTCTACTGGCGTATTCCCCTCCCCCCTAAAACATGCGCACATCACCCCCATACTCAAAAAGCCCTCTCTGGACCCCACTGACCTCAACAACCTCAGACCAATTTCCCTGCTGCCACTCACTTCCAAGCTCCTTGAGCGCTTGGTCTTCGATCGCCTAAGCGCCCACCTAGATGACAACAACCTCCTTGACCCACTACAGTCCGGCTTCCGTCCCCTACACTCCACCGAAACTGCCCTCCTCAAAATCACCAACGATCTACTAACCGCCAAAGCCAAAGGCGACTACTCTGTCCTCCTCCTCCTAGACCTCTCTGCGGCCTTTTGACACAGTCGACCACCCCCTCCTCCTTAATAAACTACTCTCCCTTGACATCAGAGACACCGCTCTCTCCTGGTTCTCGTCCTATCTATCCCAACGCTCCTTCAGTGTCACCTACAATGGTGCCACCTCCCCTTCTCTCCCCCTCTCTGTTGGGGTCCCCCAGGGCTCTGTCCTTGGACCCCTTCTCTTCTCCATCTACACCTCCTCCCTTGGCAAACTCATACACTCCCACGGCTTCAATTACCACCTCTATGCTGATGATACTCAAATCTACCTATCCACCCCTCACCTCACCCCCTCATTCTCCGCCCGCATCACTCACCTCCTAAACGACATCTCTGACTGGATGTCGCTCAATTTCCTCAAACTCAACCTCTCCAAAACCGAGCTTCTCATCTTCCCCCCAGCCCGCGCCCCCCCCCCCCCATCCTTTCCATCACTACCAACAACACCACCATCAATCCCGCCCAGCAAGCCAAGGTCCTTGGCGTCATTCTGGACTCAAACCTTTCCTTTCAACCTCATATCAAATCTCTCACAAACACATGCAGGCTCCACCTCCGGAACATCGCCAGGATACGTTCCTTCCTTACCCCAGACACCACTAAACTACTAGTACACTCCCTGATTATCTCACGCCTGGACTACTGCAACTCCCTCCTCACCGGCCTACCCCAGTGCAGGCTCTCCCCGCTTCAGACCATCCTGAACTCAGCGGCCAGACTCATCCACCTCACCAGCCGCTCCACCTCTGCCACCCCCCTCTGCCTCTCCCTCCACTGGCTCCCCATTGCCCAACGCATTAAATTCAAATTGCTCACCCTGACCTATAAGGCCATTCACAACACTGCCCCTAACTACCTCACCGATCTGATCCCCAGGTACCACCCTACCCGTACCCTTCGCTCTTCACAGGACCTTCTTCTATCTTGCTCCCTGGTCTCCTCCTCCCACGCACGACTGCAAGACTTCTCCAGGTCCTCCCCCATCCTCTGGAACTCACTACCCCAATCCATCAGACTGTCACCGTCCCTCCTCACCTTCAGGCGCTCCCTGAAAACCCACCTCTTCAGGGAAGCCTACCCCACCCTCACCTAACAGCCGCTGCCCTTCCCTCCTCCTACCACTTCATCCCCCACAGCCGCTTCCTCCGGTGCCTCTACCCCCTCCCTCCTAGATTGTAAGCTCGAAAGAGTAGGGCCCTCTAACCCCTTGTGTACTGTTTGATGTTACTGTTCTGTTTCATGTATTGTCCCCCCCCATTGTACAGCGCTGAGCAAACCCTTTGGCGCTATATAAACACGATAAATAAATAAATAAACCCCATCTTCTTAGTAAGAACTCTGGGTCCAGGGATCTTCTAAAACACAGAAGACCTTACAACACTTGGTGACTGTGGTATGCTCTAACCTTTTTACTGCTGCCGGAATCCTGTTCCCCCGAAGTCACAGTTTTTGGGTCCTGGCAACCACCAAAAAATTCTCAAGTCTTTTCCAGTGCACCCTCGCTTACAGGGGCCAACTCTCAGAAAGTGTTTTCCCCACCAAATCACTTTGTTCACAGTAACCCCTGGAGGAGGAATTCTACAAAATATGGGGTTCCCTGGCTGTTGGCCTGATTATTTGATACCTACAAAAGACAGTCCTGGTTGATGAAGACCTGGTCTTTAAAGATGCAATGAATAAACAGTTAGAGACCCTCTTTAAGGAGTCCTCTCTGGTAGGAGTGGCTCTGCAGGCTGAAGTACAAGTTTGCCAAGCCTTTAAAGCCCAGGGAAAGCATATTCTCCATTCCAGGGAATTGGACCTGGCAGCTCCTGGAAGATCTTCCAAGAGCCTCTAGTTTCTCAGTGGATGCCTTGGAAGACTCCATAAGGCATCTATAAGGGGTGGGCTGTCAATATGAGAAGGTTCCTATAGCTCAAGAATTCGTCACTAGAACTTCTCTGCAAAAAGCAAGTGGGCTGCTCTTTCATGGAAAAATGCTTGTGTGGACCACCCTTGGATGCCTTCATCCAGAAGTGATGATGGGTAACAGCATGCTCTTACCCCTAAAGCAGAAGGCAAAAGTGACAAATAAGAAACCATTGACATCAGTGACATTCCATAAGAAGAACCGGACCCCTAAGCAAATCCTCCTCACTGTAAAAGTACATCCCCATGCTCACAGGTGTTGGGAAGTCTATTGGTCTTTGCAACTGCCTGGACTCAGGTAGTCTCAAACAACCGAGTCTGCAGGGTGGAATCAAGAGGCTACAAGCTGGCGTTTTTGCTGCTTTCCCCCTTTATGCTTTATGCACTCAAGAATGTCTTTGGATCCACAAAAGAGCTTTTTTTTTTTTTTTTTTTTTTTTTTTTGCTTTGCGGCCCTGGAAGAAATGCTGTACCAAGGGGTATCATACCTATGCCTGTAGAGGAGAGCTCTCAGGGCTCATTTTCCAACCTGTTCTTGGTTCCCACGCCAAGCGGATTTGAACAGGTTGAGACCTAAAGGGTCTGAACAAGTTTCATAAATTCAGAATAGAGTCCACCCAGTCAGTGATTGCTTTACTCCATCAGGAAAACCTCTGGCGTACAGTGGATATCAGAGATGCCTGCTTTCACATCGCGATTTTCTGGGCTCCCCCACAGTTTCAGGGATTCACATTCACAGTGGCGCAGCCTTTCAGCCTGTCTACAACTCCAAGATTGTTTACCAAGGTGTTTTCTCCAGTTCTGGTCCCTGCAGAACATCTAGAGGGTAAGTACTTAATACAGCACAGGCAAAGATGCTGCTCCTTAGGGACAAATACCTGTCTCATTGAGCCCAGCTGGAATCCCTAAGGTTTTTGTAAAGTCATTTTGGACCTGCATGCAGGTACTGGGGGAAATATTGACCCCTGCTGATGGAGTCCGTATGCCCAGTTTCACTTCAGAGTTCTGCAGCTGAATATCTTGTAGGTATTGAACAGACGTCAGGAGTCTGTGGTTCTACCAATACATCTGACTCCCAAAACCAGGTTGGCTTTGGATTTGTAATCAAATTGAAGTTAGGACCCCTAACTTACATGAAAAATAATTGGTGCTGCGCTAATAAAAAATATATATAAAAATTATCAAGAAAATTAATCTTTACAAAATAAACATATAAAATAAAAAATATGTTGACTAGAATACACATGAAAACATCCAAAATAATGGATAACAATGAAAATACACCCAAAAAATATATATATAAAATATATATAAAAGGTGTAACACCATTAATAATAAATAGGCGATTAAGGGTGAAAAGGTTACACCTTTTTATATATATTTTTATGGGTGTATTTTCACTGTTATCCATTATTTTTTATGTTTTTATGTGTGTTCTATTTAACATACAGTGAGGAACAGAAGTATTTGAACACCCTGCGATTTTGCAAGTTCTCCCACTTAGAAATCATGAAGAGGTCTGAATTCACATTGTAGGTGCATTCCCACTCTGAGAGACAGAATTAAAAAAAAAAATTCAGGAAATCACATTGTATGATTTTTTTAAAGAATTTTTGTCTTGCACTGGTGAACATACAGTAAGTATTTGAACACCTGAGAAAATCAGTGTTAATATTTGGTACAGAAGCCTTTTGTTTGCAATTACAGAAGTCAAACGTTTCCTGTAGTTCTTGACCAGGTTTGCACACACTGCAACAGGGATTTTGGCCCACTCCTCCACACAGATCTCCTCTAGATCTGTCAGGTTTCGGGGTTGTCGCTGAGCAACACTGAGTTTCAGCTCCCTCCAAAGATGTTCTATTGGATTTAGGTCTGAAGACTGGCTAAGCCTCTCCAGAACCTTGATATGCTTCTTACGGAGCCACTCCTTGGTTATCCTGGCTGTGTGCTTCAGGTCGTTGTCATGTTGGAAGACCCAGCCACGACCCATCTTCAATGCTCTGACTGAGGGAAGGAGGTTTGTTGCTCAAAATCTCACAATAAATGGCCGCATTCATCCTCTCCTTAATACAGTGCAGTCGTCCTGTCCCCTTTGCAGAAAAGCACCCCCAAAGCATGATGTTACCACCCCCATGCTTCACAGTAGGGATGGTGTTCTTGGGATGCAACTCATCCTTTTTCCTCCAAACACGACGAGTGAAGTTTAGACCAAAAAGTTCTACTTTGGTCTCATCTGACCACATGACTTTCTCCCATGCCTCCTCAGGATCATCCAGATGGTCATTGGCAAACTTCAGATGGGCCTGGACATGTGATGACTTGAGCAGGGGAACCTTCCATGCAATGCATGATTTGAAACCATGACAGCGTAGTGTTCTACCGACAGTGACCTTTGAAACTGTGGTCCCAGGTCTCTTCATGTCATTGACCAGCTCCTCCCTTGTAGTTCTGGGCTGATTCCTCACCTTTCTTATCATCAGTGATACCCCACGAGGTGAGATCTTGCATGGAGCCCCAGTCCGAGGGAGACTGACAGTCGTCTTTAGCCTCTTCCATTTTTTAACAATTGCTCCAACAGTTGATCTATTTTCACTAAGCTGCTTGGCAATTGCCCCGTAGTCCTTTCCAGCCTTGTGGAAGTCCACAATTTTGTCTCTGGTGTCTTTTGACAGCTCTTTGGTCTTGCCCATGGTAGTAGTTGGCGTCTGACTGACTGTGGGGTGGGACAGGTGTCTTTAAAGAGCTCAGACAGGTGCTACTAAGTTAGATTAATGAGTGGAGTAGAGGTGGACTTTTTAAAGGCACAGTAACAGGTCTTTGAGTGCCAGAATTCTTGCTGTTTCTTAGGTGTTCAAATACTTATGTTCAGCAGTGCAAGACAAATAAATGCTTTAAAAATCATACAATGTGATTTCTTGAATTTTTTTTTTTTACATTCTGTCTCTCAGAGTGGGAATGCACCTACAATGTGAATTTCAGACCCCTCCATGATTTCTAAGTGGGAGAACTTGCGAAATCGCAGGGTGTTCGAATACTTCTGTTCCTCACTATATATTTTTTATTTTATATGTTTATTTTGTGAGGATTAATTTAGTTTATTATTAGCGCAGCACCAATTATTTTTCACTTGGTATTGTTCCATTTGGTATATGGTAAGGTGTTAGCAGCTTTATATAAAAGATTAGGGACTTGGAGCGCGGGAAGACTACATAGATATATTAGGACCCCTAACTTCTTTACCAGGTGTGAGATGTTACCTCAACATTTCATATTCCTAATATTTGTTTGTTGTATCATGTACTTGTGTTAAAAAGTATCCTGTTATCTTTGTATTGCTTCCCTTGTGTTAAATACATGATGATCATGCCAGTCCCCCAGCTATCCTATTTCAAACTGACCACGTTAGGCATGGAAGCACATCCATCCCATATCGGTCAGTTTTCTGACGGTGCTATGTGAACAGCCTGCCTGTCCTACAATGATCTGACTTGTGCTGACACGCCCCTCTGCAAAGCCATTCACTGGGACGATCAGTGTCCTGCTGTTTCTTCACCCCCACCTCTCCAAGCCCCTTATGCTGAGAACAGAGATTGGTGATCACTTATAAAAAAAAGGAAACGACATTTATAATTTATAGTATATATACATGTTTTGTATTTTATATATCTATATTAAATTGAATTGGTTTTACAAGGTAAGGGTTCACATATACTTTAAAGATTAGTGATGCCACGTGATTATCGTGACAGGCAGGAAACTAGTATTTTAGCTATGGCAGCGTCTGCACTTCCTCATTACTGGTTTGGTTTCATGTGTAATAATTGTTTATTAGATTGCAAGTCTACTGTTGTTAATTTAGGCCCTGTTTTCTCTGAAACGTTCTTTTGTGTTGTAGATCCTGTACACCAGTCTGCTGGCTTTATGTTACATACTGTACTTTGCAAAGTTCCTGGGCTCTAAGGAGGCAGCGAAAAAACAATTCCCATTGCACAGCATGAAGGAATTCTTACCTAGATACTGTGCCACAAAGGTAAGTGTTAACTGAATTGGCCACAGTTAGTACTTTTGAGTTCTATGTTTCCATTTGCAGAATTTCTGGTTAGTTCAGATATGAAAAGGCAACCTTAAAGCTGTTTTTTTTATGTCTTTCCAGAGTTATCCTGAGACAGCATTAAAGCCTTGGTTTGGTCCATTAACCCCTTCCCGCTGCCACCCTCCTGGCTCTTAACTGGATCTAAAGATCTTGGGAGAGAGACAAGCATTTAGATAAAGTAACCAATGTGATTGGCTGTCACATGGTTGGAAAACTCCCAATCGCCAGTATACATCAGGAGCTTTTGGTTAAATGTTAGTTACTGTGCTGGGAGTACGCTCTCAGCACAGTAACTTGTTTACAAATGGACGCATATATGCGGCCGCTCAATGTTGAAGCTCATCCGCAAAGAGTGAATCAATGTGACAAACTCCTGCGCTCCTACCTAAAAACTAATACCTACCAACAAAGGTAAAGCTGCTACATACAGTCATATACCCATAGACAAAAATTATAATAGAAACACAAATGATGCAGCGCTACTACCATAAAAATTCTTCACACATAAATAAGTGAAACAGTGCAAAATTAGTGACACAAATAACATAAACACACAATATTAAATAGTGCCAAAAAACTCATAAATAATCACATGTGACAAGTGTCAATACGAGGTCCTAAAAGGACCAAATAACATAAATGGTGCCCCCAGTAATCCAATGGGATCCAATAGTGCTCCAAATCAAACAAGTAAGTCACAACAGGACTCAATGTGCTAAAAAAACCTCCCACCAGAACTAAAAATCAGTTCCTACCATATAAACACAAAACACACGTGCATCCCAATAAACGCATAAACTAAAAACTGATCATGCAAACAAACAGGAATAAATGAATGAATATATAAAGTCCCGTGAGGTGTAAAACACCTGACAATATACAAAAAAGCCATTTTTGATCTCTCTGCACATTTATCAGCACTTTTTTTTTTTTTTCTTCTTCAAGAATTGCTGTGGACTTTATATATGGTTTTTTGTATATGGTCAGGTGTTTTACACCTCACGGGACTTTATATATTCATTCATTTATTCATGTTTGTTTGCATGATCAGTTCTTTATGCGTTTATTGGGATGCACATGTGTTTTGTGTTATATGGTGGGAACTGATTTTTAGTTCTGGTGACTTGTTTGATTTGGAGCACTATTGGATCCCATTGGATTACTGGGGGCACCATTTATGTTATTTGGTCCTTTTAGGACCTCGTATTGACACTTGTCACGTGATTATTTATGAGTTTTTTGGCACTATTTAATATTGTGTGTTTATGTAATTTTGTCACTAATTTTGCACTGTTTCACTTATTCATTTATGTGTGAAGAATGTTTATGGTAGTAGCGCTGCGTCATTTGTGTTTCATTCATCCGCAAAGTAATATATGTATTATGTCAGTGGGAAGAAGTTAAAAAAAAAATTCAGTACAAAGGATACTTAGATTCCATGCAAAGTGTTCTTTATGGTGCTAGCTGTTCTGTTAGTTGACATCCTAAACCCTGTGACCCCTCACATGTTTTCACAACTGTATACTTCTGACACTGTGGGAATTATTACAAGTGTTGGACCTCTGACAGGCTGTTATCATAGGCCCTGACTGTGCTTGCCTTTTCTGCTCCCACCCTCCATTCCTGGAATTCATGCTATAGCTTCCATCAATGAAACATAATCTATGAATGGAGGATGGACAGATGAATGAAAGGTTTGCCGCCTCTGTTCACAGAGCACTTTTCATTCATTTAAGGCATAGTACAGCTTCTATGAATGGAGGAAAGGATGGGGGAGGGCAGTCAGCACTCTTGATAAATGCTTGTGACAGATCATCATCACTCTTGTTAACCCCAGCAGTACCATATGATTATGGCTGTTGTGTAATGCCAAACCAGGCAGTGATTATGTACTATACTGTGTGCAACACTAAACCCATTTACACTGATAGAGGCTTATTTTGTGTGAAAACAAATGTGGAGTAATTGTACCCTTGCCATTCCTTTGTTCTGTTTGAAATGCCATTTTATGTATTGACATACCTCCTCTGACCCAGTCTGTCTGGCAGCATACACAGGCAGCTAATCTCGTCGGTAATACAAAGAAGATGAATCCAACACAATTTTACTAACTTTACTAATTGCTGTATAGAGGATGTTCTTTTGCATTTTAAAGTGTAAGAAGATAATGATTTTCCTAAGCACTGTCTCTGTGACTAACACTGACTTGTACTGTGTTAACCACCAAATACTCTGGAAAGTAAATAAAGAGCATCACTCAAACTACAAAACTTTCTATATCTAAATAATCAAAGATTCTTCTAAAGGAAAACCCTAAAGAAGAGAGACCACAGGAAAGGTCAAGGATAAGGTGGTTAGGCCATACAGATAATGGGACCATAATGCTGGGGCTTGAGTACCTACAGGCACTTGTAGACTCCTCTATAAACTTGGCCACATTGGGAGGCAATGATTTAACTGGTGTTCATTTTGCCTATTTCTATTTACTAAACAGGACTTCATAGACTGGAAACAGGCCTGGCTAGCCTGGAGTTTCTTCAAGCAATCCTTTTTAAAGCAGATTCTAACAGAAGGTGAGTCCCTTGGACACAGTGTCATGATCATTTTGGTGATTTTTGTCAGTAGATGTCAACGGGGTCCTGAACCTTCCCGGATTGTTAAAGTGAACCTTTAAGGCCTCATGCACATTGGGCATTTTTGCTATCTCTCCTAGATGCCTTTCCTACTGCCAGCAGTGTTTTGGCAGGAAAAACGTTTGATGCTTGTAAACGCATGTAACATGTTTAGGTGCGTCAAACGCTTAGGCGTTTTTTCATTTCTTTTACAAAAGGTTTTATTGTGGGTTTTATGTTCATTCAAGCAGACAGAGCCATCAATAGTACAGTTACATTCCATATGAAATATATGTGATTGGTTTATGTGCCATTTATACTCACAATATACATCTGTTCAATATGGAGGTCAACAGTATAGGCTAATGCATAAGTGTTGAGTATTATAATCTCAAGTTTATACATCAAATGATACATATACATAAACTATAGAATATTATGCAAAAAGCATAAACCGCATTGTGTAAGCAAAGGTTGCAAATAATGTAACCATCAAGGCCAGGCATCACCTGGCTGTCAGCAGTCTCATTGACTGTTAAAAAAAAAAACAACAAGAAATGAAAGGAGAGAAAAGAAAGAAGAAAGGCTAAAGCAAGCAAGAGAAAAGAGGTGAAAGAAAAGAAGTCCCGGGGGCCCTCAACGCCAGGCTATTAAATCGACATAAGAGTATTTTTTTTAATCAAGATGTCTGAGCATGAGCTATCCAGGGTTGCCATACTCAAAGAAATTTCTCATGAGTGTCTGGTAGTATGACTGTTAATTTTTTGTTACTTGTAATATCGTTCATGCAGTTTTTGACTGCCTTAAAGCTGAGAATTGGAGTTTTGCAGGCTCTGGCTATAGTTAATTTGGTAGCAGTAAAAAGATGTAATACCAATTGCCCTTTGGGACGAAGTAAACACAACCGGTTTTACAGAGAAGGGATTTCTTTTAAGATCACTATGCAACAGGGTGCGGAGTAGTGCATAAACCCTGACCCAGAGTCTGCACACCTTCAGCCAGGAGCATCAGATGTGAGCCATTGTGCCTACCTGGGAGCACCCTCCGAAACAGTTTGATGAATATGCAGGGATGAAACGTGCCAGCCCAGATGGCGTATAATACTATCTGTATAAGATCTTATAAGAATTTTCCAGTATAAGTACACTTTTAGAGCTCTTAGATATTGCCAAAGTCATGATCTGCCAGTCCTGGGCATTAATTGATTTTCATTGGCCAGAATAATAATTTTACCCTGGCCATTGAAATGAATTAATGCTCAAGCTCTAAACGCAAATGGTGCTTAGGCATGTTTAGATGCCTTACCATGCATTTACAGGTATCAAGTCTGCCAAAACGCTGATGCTTGATGCACTGGCAGTGCATAGACACATAGACTAACATGCAGGGGCATTTAGAGGCAGGAAAAAAACAGCAGATGCCCCTGGGAGCAGTGGCATAACGCCCAGTATGCATGAGGCCTTAAGTTTCTATTTTAAGCTTTAAAAGATATTGGGGTTGATTTACTAAAACTGGAGTGTGCAAAATCTGGTGAAGCTGTGCATGGTAGCCAATCAGCTTCTAACTTAAAAAAAAACAAAAAGAACAGTGAGCGTTTAGAAGTGAAAAGCTGGTAGCACTAAAATGTAAAGCAACCAAAATAAATAAATATAAACAGAAAAGTGCAACGCTAGAAATGGCATGTACAAAATTCATATGAATGCAAATGTGCTAAAATAAATTAAGTAATGTACTATTACTGCATCCTACCATCCAATAAATGGTAAATAAATAAATAATAATCCACCAAAAACCGTGATCAATAAATAAAGCATACATTTTCAATGTAAAAATACGAATTAATACACCTATAGTGCAAACAAAGTGCCAGTGCAAAATTATATTCGTTCATAGTCCAATATTAAATCAGATATTCTTTGTTACAAGTGTTTCACAATTATCATGCATTCAAAAAACGTAGGTGATCTTCATTGCGATTCTTTCACCCTTATGCACTCACAAGAAAATAAAGAATATCCAGCTTAAACAAAAACACCCAGCCAAACAGGACCTTCAGAGACCACTTTTACAAATGGATAGTAGCGTTAGCTTGAAGTAAGCCCTATGAGGAAATGACTCACCACACGGAGCCCATAATAGAGTACATAGTGTAGTAGTTTAATAAAACAATCAATTTAGACAGAAGATAAAAATCCACGTGGAATAAAAACATTTTCAGCCAGAGTTGCAAAGATGGCCACTGGCCCAACATGGACTCGGCGGCGTGACATCAGCATGTATGGCCCCTCCCAACACGTTTCATGCACATGCATGTCTTCACAAAGATACGCCTACTGCTGATGTAGCAAACATCTTCCTTAAATAGCCTGCGTGCTTCATTTTGCTGTAGATAATGAAAACGGTGCCATTTTCCCATAGCCACATATAGAAGGTAATACAGGTAGTGTGCCATTCAAACACAGAAACAACTGGTGCCATTTTTTTGTAGCCACATAAACAAAGAACTACAGGTGATTATTGGCACACCATTTTGCTATGGGTCAAAAGGAAAAAGCACCTAAACGCTAAGAAGTTTATATATACTCCGCAACATTGAGCATAGCTGCTTCCCACATAATCAGAAAATAAAATTAAAAATTGAACTTACACTTAACCAATCAACGGGTACAATAAACAAACATTATAAATACCATAAAATAAAAAATCACAGAAAATATATAGGTGTGTGTAAATATATATATATATATATATATATATATATATACATATTATATACATGATAAAAAGTCTATACACCCCTGTTAAAATGTCAAGTTTCTGTGATGTGAAAAAATTAGACCAAGATCAATAATTTCAGAAATGTTTCCACCTTTAATGTACCCTATAAACTGTACAACTCAGTTGAACAACAAACTGAAATCTTTTCGGTGGAGGGAAATAAAAATAAAAAAACTAAAATAATATGGTTGCATAAGTGTGCACACCCTTAAACTAATACTTTGTTGAGGCACCTTTTGATTTTATTCCAGCACTCAGTCTTTTTGGTTATGAGTCTATCAGAATGGCACATCTTGACTTTGCAGTATTTGCCCACTTCTTCCTTGCAAAAAACACTCCAAATCTGTCAGATTGCGAGGGCATCACCTGTGCACAGCTCTCTTCAGATCACCCCACAGATTTTCGATTCAGGTCTGAGCTCTGGCTGGGCCATTCCAAAACTTTAATCTTATTCTGGTGAAACCATTCCTTTGTCGATTTGGATGTATGCTTTGGGTCGTTTTCATGCTGAAATATGAAGTTCCTCTTCATGTTCAGCTTTTTAGCAGAAGTCTGAAGGTTTTGTGCCAATATTGACTGGTATTTGGAACTGTTCATAATTCCCTCTACCTTGACTAAGGCCCCAGTTCCAGCTGAAGAAAACCGGCACCAAAGCATGATGCTGCCACCTCCATGCTTCATTGTGGGTATGGTGTTCTTTGGGTGATGTGGTGTTTTTGCACCAAACCTATCATTGGGAATTATGGCCGAAAAGTTCAACCTTGGTTTCATCAGATCATAACACATTTTCCCACATGCTTTTGGGAGACTTCAGATGTGTTTTTGCAAAATTTAACCTGGCTTGGATGTTTTTCTTGTAAGAAAAGGCTTCTGTCTTTCCACTCTACCCCATAGCCCAGACATATGAAGAATATGGGAGATTGTTGTCACATGTACCACACCGCCAGTACTTGCCAGATATTCCTTCTGCTCCTTTAATGTTGCTGTATGGCCTCTTGGCAGCCTCCCAGACCAGTTTTCTTCTCATCTTTTCATTAATTTTGGAAGGACATCCAGTTCTTAGTAATGTCACTGTTGCGCCATATTTTCTCCACTTGTTGATAACTGTCTTCACTGTGTTCCATGGTATATCTAATGCCTTGGAAATTCTTTTGTACCTTCTCCTGTGACTGATACCTTTTAACAGTGAGATCCCTCTGATGCCTTGGAAGCTTTCGGAGAAAGACCTACTAGAAGAGCTGAACTTTTATTTTGGGTTAATCGGAGCCACTTTAAATGATGGCAGGTGTGTACTGACTCCTATTTAACATGATTTTGAATGTGATTTCTTAATTCTGAACACAGCTACATCCCCAGTTATGCAACCACATTATTTTAGTTTTTTTTTTTTTGTTTGTTTACTTCCCCACCAAAAGATTTCAGTTTGTTTTTCAATTTAGTTGTACAGTTTATAGGTCACATTAAAGGTGGAAAAAGATCTGAAATTATTTCTTTGTCTATTTTTTTTTTTACATCACACAAACCTGGCATTTTAACAGGTTGTGTAGGTTTTTTATATAGTGTGTGTGTGTGTGTGTGTGTGTGTGTGAGATATACAGTGCCTTGAAGAAGTATTCATATCCCTTGAACGTTTCCATATTTTGTCATGTTACAACCAAAGATGTAAATGTGTTTTTATTGGGATTTTATGTGACAGACCAACACAAAGTGGCACATAATTGTGAAGTGAAAGCATCTGTGAACAGTAATTTTCAAGTCTTGCCACAGATTCTCAATTGGATTTAGGTCTGGACTTTGATTGGGCCATTCTAACACATGAATATGCTTGATCTAAACCATTCCATTGTAGCTCTGGTTGTATGTTTTGGGTCGTTGTCCTGGAATGTGAACCTCTGCCCCAGTCTCAAGTCTTTTGCAGACTCTAACAGGTTTTCTTCCAAGATTGCCCTGTATTTGGCTCCATCCATCTTTCTATCAACTCTGACCAGCTTCCCCCCTGCTGAAGAAAAGCATTCCCACAGCATGATGCGGCCACCATCATGTTTCACGGTGGGGATGGTGTGTTCAGGGTGATGTACAATGTTAGTTTGGCGCCACAAATAGTGTTTTTTTGCTTTTAGGCCACAAAGTTCAATTTTGGTCTCATCTGACCAGAGCACCTTCTTCCACATGTTTTCTGTGTCCCTCACATGGCTTCTCGCAAACTGCAAATGGGACTTCTTATGGCTTTTTTTCAACAATGGCTTTCTTCTTGACAATCTTCCATAAAGGCCAGATTTGTGGAGAGCACGACTAATAGTTGTCCTGTGGACAGATTCTCCCACCTGAGCTGTGGATCTCTGCAGCTCCTCCAGAGTTACCATGGGCCTCTTGGCTGCTTCTCTGATTAATGCTGTCCTTGCCCGGCCTGTCAGTTTAGGTGGATGGCCATATCTTGGTAGGTTTGCAGTTTGCATACTCTTTCCATTTTTTGATAATGGATTGAACAGTGCTCTGTGAGATATTCAAAGCTTGGGGTTTTTTTTATAACCTAATCCTGCTTTAAACTTCCCCACAACTTTATCCCTGACCTGTCTGGTGTGTTCCTTGGCCTTTATGATGCTGTTTGTTCACTACTTTTCTCTAACAAACCTCTGAGGGCTTCACAGAACAGCTGTATTTATACTGAGATTAAATTACACTCAGGCGGACTCTATTTACTAATTAGGTGACTCCTGAAGGCAATTGGTTCGACTAGATTTTAGTTAGGGGTATCAAGAGTAAAAGGGGCTGAATACAAATGCATGCCACACTTTTCAGATATTTATTTGTAAAAAAAAAAAAAAGTAAAACCTTTTCATCATTTTCCTTCTATTTCACAATTATGTGCCACTGCTGGTCTGTCACATAAAATCCCGATAAAACACATTAATGTTTTTGGTTGCAACATGACAAAATGTGGAAAATTTTCAGGGTTATGAATACTTTTTCAAGGCACTGTATGTGTGTGTGTTTGTATGGGTATACAGTTAGGTACATATATATTTGCACACAGGCACAATTTTCATACTTTTGGCTTTGTGTATGCCACCAGAATAAATTAAAATGGAACTATCCAAATTAATTTGAAGTGCAGACTTTCAGCTTTAGTTCAAGGGGTTGAGCATAAATATCAAGTACAAATTTTAGGAACTGCAACCATTTTTATACACAGTCCCTCTATTTTCAAGGGCTCAAATGTAATTGGACAAATTAATATAATCATAAATAAATGTTCATTTTTAATATTTTGTTGAGAATCCTTTACTGGCAAAGACTGCCTGAAGTCTGGAACCCATGTACATTACCAATGACGAGTTTCCTCCTTTCTGATGCTTTGCCAGGCTTTAACTGCAGCTGTCTTCAGTTCTTTGTTTGTGGGTCTTTCTGCCTTTAGTTTTGCCTTCAGCAAGTTAAATGCATGCTCAATTGGGTTGAGATCAGGTGATTGACTCGGTCATTGCAGGGTATTCCACTTATTTTCCTTCAAAAGCTCCTGGGTTGCTTTTGCAGTGTGTTTTGGATCATTGTCCATCTGTACTGTGAAGCACTGTCCAATCAACTTTGCTGTATTTGGCTGAATCTGGGCTGAAGTATATCTCTAAGCACTGCAGAATTCATCCGGCTGCTTCTGTGTTCTGTCACATCATCAATAAACACCAATGACCCAGTGCCACTGGAAGCCATGCATGCCCATGCCATCACACTGCCTCCACCATGTTTTACAGATGACGTTGTGTGCTTTGGATCATGAGCTGTTCCAAGCCTTCTCCACACTTTTTTCTTCCCATCTGTCATTCTGGTACAGATTAATTTTAGTTTATTCCATCCAAAGAATGCTTTTCCAGAACTGGTCGGGCTTTTTTTAGATGTTTTTTGGCAAAGTCTAATCTGGACAAAAGTCTAAAAAGGACACAGCGATCACAGACTATGCCAGGCGTGCCTCTGGCGGCGCATTCTGGGAGGACGTAATATGACGCCCTCCCAGAACTGAACTGCCGCACTGTAGCTGTCATTCGGCTATAGTGTGGTAGTAAAGTGGTTAAAAACATGCCAATGACAAGTTAAAAATTCATCAGTAATACATAAACAACATCTGAAAAAAATACTAAATGTGCTGAGAACATTAAAGGGAATTGTAGCTAAACAACAGGTACTTAAAAATGAGATATAAAACCTCAACTGTTATTGATAAAGCAGTTAATATCAAAAACCCCCCATGTTTTGCATTGTATTGGTATTGTTCTGTCACATGTTCTGTCCCCCTTTGTAATGTACAGCGCTGAGCGAACTATTGGCGCTTTATAAATACTGTATAATAATAATAAATATCTATATCTATATTCAACCACAAAGGGAATAAAGTATGCATCTCATATATCAATCTCGTTTCAAGCATGGACACCGCTCTGTGCTTCGTACAACACTTCCAATATGAACAAATTAAATCTGTCCCTACAAACCTAACGCCCAAGGGATCCTTATGGTGGTATTCTCTAAAGTGTCTCAAAAGAGAATGCTCTTTAAAACCCTTTAGAATATTGTAAAGATGTTCTCTCAAACGATCCCTCAGCCTTCTAGTTGTTCTCTCTATGCATTGCTTTATACAAGGACATTCAAGAAAGTATCCCACATATCTACTATTGCATGTGATGAACAAATCTAATCAGGGGCATTTTTTAGACAAAGGACCATTCAGAAAAATAAGTATTCATGCAGAGGTACCAGACTCCAAAAGATATATCATATATGAGCAGTAATGGTATTTTCATACTCATTAAGACCACTCTGACCCCTGAAGAAACTGCATTGTTAAATAAAGGGCTTAAGCATGCCCCACAGGTGAAATTAAACAAACTCCAAACTTATATTGACATACATAGGTTTATAAGACGGGTGTCCTTAAAAATGCAGTATATGATGAACCCTATAACTATGAATGCGCAAGCTAGTTCAAACATGATGTGCTCTAATTTGAGGAATGCATCTTTATTTAATCCTCCTGCTGCTACAAACCCCCATGTGGCCATTTTTAAAGAAATGGTTATTAGAGATTTATTAAATATTGCGGGTAAAAAAATCCCAGAAATTCCTATTTTGTAAATACTTCTGGACAGGAAAGACTTGGAGATCAGGCCAGAAGATAAAAAGGGGGAGGAGGAGTAGTTTGGGACAAAAAGGATTATATTAAAGAGGTGCATATAATGCTTGAGGACAAAGAAACCTTGCCAAAAGACTGTTTGGTTAAATATAGAAGAGATCTTAAAAAGATTTTTTTGAGGTTTTATATATCTAATTTTTTAGCAGCTGTTGTTTAGCTATAATCCCTTGGAATTGTAGTGTACTCTCCACAATATAGTATTTTTTTCAGATGTAGTGTATTACTGATGAATATTTAACTTGTCAGTGGCATGTTTTTAATATTTCCTAAATAGCCAGCTTTTTTATTTGTGTTTTTTCCTTAGGTTTTTTTATTTAAATTTTTTTTTTTTTATAATATACATTGTTTATAATTATATTTTTAATCTAATTAGGGGCATACTGTATATACAGTATGTGAAAAGTTTTATAGCTTTGTAATTTTTTTATAGCTGTTATACTTATGGTATTTAGGTTATTTATAATGTTTGTTTATTGTCCCCGTTGATTGGTTATGTGTGGGTTAAATTTTAATTTAGATTTTATCTTCTGTTTAAATTGATTGTTTAATTAAACTACTACACTATGTACTCTATTATGGGCTCTGTGTAGTGGGCTATTCCTCATAGGGCTTACTTCAAGCTAACGCTCCTATCCATTTGTGAAAGTAGTCTGTGAAGGTCCTGTTTGGCTGGAAGTTTCTGTTTGAGCTGCATATTCTTTATTTTCTGGTAAGTGCATAATAAAGGTGGAGGAGGTGCACTGAAGATCACCTACGTTTTTTGGATGCATGATAAGTGTGAAACCCTTGTAACGAAGAGTATCTGATTTAACATTGGACGGCCTATGAACTAATATAATTTTGCACTGACACTTTGTTTGCACTATAGTGGTTATTTCTAGTAGAATTTGCTGTTAGGAGCTCCATGCTCTTATAAGCTGTGCCCTCCAACATCAGAAGTAAAATGTCTTTTGTCCTTTCTTGTTCATATGTCTTCATTGGCATAAACACAAGAATGGTGGCTGGTGAAACTGCACTGGAATGTGTCCTTATTCACATACACTACATCTATAATATGGCCATTTCATTACAAGCAACACAGAGAAGGGCTGAGAGCAGAATACAGTATGTTGTACATTTTTCCAGTGATCCGCTAACTAGTGTTGTCACTAGTGCACTAAGGCAAAAAATATATTTGGACATAATGATGTTAGGAGAAAACTAAACACCTGCCTGCAGTTTCACTTCATAGGAACACTTGAAAACTAAGCTTTTAATTTTGTCCTTTACTTCCATTCAGGTGAACGCTATGTGATGACATTTCTGAATGTTCTGTCATTTGGTGATCAGGGTAAGTTTACACTATACATCTTCTGTTTATTGCTTTAGATCTATGTTTTCAAAGTGAGCCTTGCATGAAAAAATTACATCCTGGCATTGTAATTAGCACTGACTACTTGGTAAAGCAAGTAAATTGTGGGGAATCCTTACATTTTTATAATTTTAGAACAAAGTCTGGCCATGCTTATTCCATGTTGCAAGTCACTTTGACTTTTCTGAGCTAATAAAATGGGCTCACAATCTACAACTTACATGTAACATGTGATGCAATATCTGTCATTCCCATGCTTTGCTACAGCACAGATCTCTGGCTTACAGAGGTCTGCTGAGATGTCAAAGCAATGAGAGCAACATGACACAAGGAAGTGAGCTGTTGTTGGTGCTTTCTGTGGCTATTCCAATATGGCAGCTCAGAAACACACAGTATACAAGGACTGTTTGGCACTAGCAAATTTGATATTTAGTTGATATTAATATTACTAAAAACTGTATATATAATTTAGAAACTGTATCCTTTAAAATAATCTTAATACAAAATCCATTAAAAAAAATTTTTTTAAAAAATCGTACCTAAAATTTAAATGGCCATTTAGGTATTTTATTTTATGATGCAAGGATTACAAACATATGTACGAGCAATACACACAACCTTTGTGTAAAGTAGATGAATTTAATCTGTCTTCTATTTTGTCTTTTCTCTTTAGGAGTGTATGACATTGTGAACAATCTGGGCTCACTCGTAGCACGATTTATTTTCTTGCCCATAGAGGAGAGCTTCTATGTCTATTTCTCAAAGGTGTTGGAAAGAGGAAAGGATGTTGGGAATCAGAGGAAGGTAAGTCAGTGTGCCAAAGGTTTAGCCACAGATTTCAAATGAAATATGGCTGCTTTAATCACTCACCCGTGGTGGTGTTCTCCCCTGACTTGTATGACAGCTGGGTTGGGCATACTTAGGGTTATAGTCCCACTCCCATTAAAAAAAAAAAAAGACAACATTTGCTCACACATTCTGAGTCTTTTATGACCCATCTAGGGAACCCTGACATCGCCAGTCTGTCACAAGCAATTGGGCTGTAACTGGAATACTGAGAGAGGGTATTTACTATCTTTGGAATTTTAGTAACTTTAGCATGTAGGAAGTCCATAAAATGTTCATGCCCTTCTGTAATTGCAATGTATGCTGTCAGGAGTTGAGGTTTCAAAACAGAATGGAAAGTTTTTAAAATGGCTCTGAGTGGCCTTCAGGGGTTAGTGCTTTAATATTTTGGGTATTTGTTATTGCTTGATGTAACTTAATGTGGTAATAAACCCAGAATCATTAGCAGCCTACCAGTCATTAGATGTGTACATTAGTTGTTTTTTTTTTTTTTTTCCTTCCCTCTCTGTTTTCACCTGGTTATCTGGCCAGTAAAACACCTCCTGTATTAGAGTGCCTATATGCTGGATGAAGGAACACAGGGCACACATTTGGACAGCAGTATTGTTAGTCTGAGTGGAGGAGAGTATTAAATGCACTAGCATACTTACATACATTAACAAGTTGAAGCCATAATCCAACTAACACTTTATAAGCAGTTACAGTAAACCGTTTTTTCCCCTTTTGAGGCAAAGGTTTAACCTAAATAAATTAAAGCTGAGCATTGTAAGCACCCCTATCAGTGGTAAATGGTTTGTCTCATCCATGTTACTGATACATCTGCAAGAGAGAGTGTTCTTTTGAAAAAACAGACCTAATGGCCAAATCACAAGATGAAGAAAGAAAGAGCCTAAAAAGAGAAAACTAATGCAGCCATCACATCCAAAAATTGGTAAAAGCTGCATATAATAAATGTTTTCTTTTGGGTTTAAGACTGCTTCAAGCTTGGATAGGGAGAATTATAAATTGAAGGTAATGTGTGGGCTAAAAGATTTTACTGTTTGCTACCTGTTTGCTGCAGCTAAAGGTCTGTCAGGTTTATTGCTAAATTCATAGTGGTGTTCTACTGCTGGCAAGGGTGGCTTTGTTTAACTAGATAAAATGAAGATTTTCTCTCAGCATAAATGTGTTCATTTTTTGTCCCCTGACCTGGAATAGTTTGTGTATAATTTTCAGTTTGTGGATAAATTGAAGAAAGAAGTCTTTCTTTGCTGTTCTTTTTCTTTACTTAATTGGTAATCTGCTCTTTTCTTCATGTATTAAATGTTTATGTGTAAAAATATTAGTATGCATGTGTGTTTTCCTGGTACCAGCATCTTACGCAACATTGCATGTCATCATCTAAGATTTTTTGGTATGCAGTAAATATTGTTTTTCTAATAGTTTACTTTTTCTTATTTTTTAGGAAGAGATTTCTGCAGCATCCGCAGTCCTGGAGTCCCTTCTGAAACTAGTGACCCTGATTGGCCTTGTTATCATTGCATTTGGATATGCTTATTCCCAGCTAGCTCTTGATATTTATGGAGGATCTATGCTAAGTGGAGGCTCTGGTATGTCAAACGAGGGCTAATCGTATGTCAGATGGAAGAAAGAAGCCATACTCCAAATCAGTAGCCATGTGTTAAACAAATCCCTGGTACGCTAGCAATTCACCTGACCTTTCCCGCTGTTAAATACACTTTGGGTATTGATTTGGCTTGTCTTCTTTCTTCTAATTTAAATTCACTATGTGTGGCTGAGGCAAGCCAAGAGCTAGCACCAGAGGATGGCTATGGGGGCATGTATCTGGAGCTTAAAATGGTATTAAACCCAAATGCAAAATTAAATTGCATCTTACCAATCCTTAGATGTAATGGCTGCATTAGTTTTCTTTTTTTAGGCTTTTTTCTTTATTTTCAGCTGGTGATCTGGCCAGTAAATCTGTTACTTTTAACATCCTTAAACATAGCAAACTGTCCAAGCAAAGTAGCAAATGGAGGGTTGAGACACACACTGACAGGGGTGCTTATGATGGTTAGCCTTTACTAATTTACTGTATGTAAAACTCTTTTCCCAAAAGGAAAAAATTGGTTTGCTGTAATTGCTTATAACGTTTTATCTGGAATTCAGTTTCAATTTGTTAGTCAAGTCCAGTACATCTGCTAGTCTAACACTACCCTCTCCCCAGACTGACAATGGTGGCAGAGGTGTCTGCTTTATTGCTTCATCCAGAATATAGACATCCTAAGACAGGAAGTGTGTTACTGGCTGGATCACTAGGTGAAATAAAGGAAAAAAGCCCCCCCCCCCCCCTAAAAAACTAATGCAGCCACCACATCTAAAGATTGGTAAGCTGCAATCTAGTACATTTGTTTTTAGGTGTAATTTTGCTTTAAGGCTACTTGGGTAATGAGATCCAATATGCAGCCTGAATTGAGAATGAGCTTTGGCATTCCAACATGTTTGACTATGCAGTAGTGCATCCAAATCTGTACAGTCCGTATGCTTGGCACTTCTGCCATCCTTTGCAGGGAACAATAAACATGGTATCTCAATACCAGTATGCACTGCAGATATGGTCACTACTTGAATACCCAGATTTTTTTTTTTTTTATATTCAGATGTTAAGCTATGCTAATGCATAGCACCCAGCAACAAGAAAAAAAAAAAAAAAAAGGGACCTAGTGCGTAAGCATATTTTTTATTCCAATAAAACGTGACCTCAGTCTACTGATGCCATTGGACTCTGATGCCACTTTAAATATGCAGCTATTTCATGCACACGCTTGAGTGCATTACTTTATTATGTAAAAAAGTGTTCTTTTTTTTTTTTAATTCACTAGATCACTAGACCGACTTCAGTAGAAGCAGCAAGACCATTTTCTTTTTTCCTAGACCATAGAGCTTAGAGGAGGCCATCTTTCATCCGTTCATCTCTGTAACCAGCCGCCGCAACCACCAGATCAGTCCCCGGGGCTACTGGTCATCAGGGTAAACCCGGGAACTACCGCTTCTGAAAGTGATCCAGCGGCAAATCCACTGCTAAGATCAATTTTAGTGGTTATAGAATTGCTTGCTAAAAAAAAAAACAATACTGGGCTCTTGGCATACTGCTGCAGCCATAACACTGGTAATCCTTTTCCAACGGTGGATGTCATTTGTCTATGGCCCAGTTGGAAAGTGGTTCATTTCTTAACTTTCCAAAAAATTGTGACAAAATTACAACTTCAAAAATCTCAGCATGCTTATTGACTGTCTACTTTCCAAAAAGGGGTCATTTGGGGGTTTTCTACTGTCCTGGCATTTTAGGGCCTCAGGAAATGAGATCAGTACATCAGGACTGCTCAGTCTTTATATATATATATATATATATATATATATATATATATATATATATATATATATATATATATATATATATATATATATATATATATATATATATACACACACACACACCATAGTTTGTAGACTATAGCTTTCACATAATATACACTGATTTGGGTTGTTTTTACTAGGGATGCACCGAAATTCTGGTGGCTGAAATGTTTCGGCCGAAGACACCCCTTTCAGCTGTCGGCCGAGATAAAAAAGCACCGATACAGGTGCCAAAAAAACCCTGCCGCTCAGTAGTTCATTCTCATCTGAAACCATCGATCCTGGCGCTGGGCATAGAGATGAGTGAAGGAAAGATGGCCACCACACATCTCTATGCTCTTGGAGGACCAGAGCAATGTCACTTATGGTTCTGGCTTTTTTTTTTATTTTAAAGCACTAGATCAATGCTTTTTTTTTTTTTTTTTTTTTTTTTATCTAATGCTTTACATTGTAGAGGAGAGATATGGGGTCTTATTGACACCATATCTCTCCATAAAGAGGATCTGTTACTAATTATTTCTATCACAAGGGATGCATGCATTTCTTGTGATAAGAATAAAAGTGATTACAATTTTTTTAAAAGGGACAATGCAAAAAAAAAAAAAAATATTAAATACATTTTTTTTAAAAAGTTTAAAGTGCCCCCGTTCTCGCACATAGTGGTGAACGCATATGTAGGCCATGCCCACATAAGTAAATGGTGTTCAAACCACACATGTGAGGTATCGCCACGAACATCAGAGCAAGATCAATAATTCTCACACTAGACCTCCTCTGTAACTTTACACTGATAACCTGTAGAAATTTTTAAAGTATCACCCATGGAGGTTTTTAAGTACCGAAAGTTTTCATGCCATTCCACGAGCTTGCGCAATTTTAAAGCATGACATATTGGGTATCTATTTACTTGCCGTAACACCCTCTTACATATTTTACAAAACAATTGGGGTATATATTGTTTTTGTTAATCAAAGTGTATTTTTTTCCAAAAAATATATATTTTGTTATTGTTAATCTTAAAGGAAAGTTGTGATGTTAGAATTATGTGAGCTGACAAACTGAAAGCTCCAGAGTGTTCAACCTGTTCCTTGCTTCAATACAAATCAAACAGGTGGAGCATTCATCAGACCTCTCATTATTATCTCTCCTTCCTGTCCACCTTCTGCTTCCGTAGCTGCCCTCTTACTATCCTGCAGTAGCTCTTAAAGAGCCCAACACCTGAATAATAAAGAAGTCGGATATACAGTATACCTGTCATTCAGAACATATCCCTTTTGGCCATTGCAACAGATTTTTTACAAGTGCCATAGAAATAGGCAGTGTTCTAAATGGGCTGTTGCACCGACGGCACAGATTCTTATTGATTTTTTTTTTTTTTTTTTTAAACTGCCAGGTACAAATGCTGACATCCTGAAAATATTAGCAAGGTATTGCCAACTGATTCTGTGTGTCTTCTTACCAGGTCCTGTTCTTCTGCGCTGCTACTGTTTGTATGTTCTCCTGCTGGCAATTAATGGTGTTACTGAATGTTTTACCTTTGCTTCAATGAGTAAGGAGGAAGTAGACCGGTGAGTATATCCTTTTTACAGTATTGTATTGATCAACATGCAACTCTAATTAAAAATGGAATAAAATATAATTTTCAAGTTTAAGTTAAGCAAGAACTGTAAAATTATACAGTTATGCAAATATTGTATGTATTACAGGACTGATGGTTAGGTTGAAGTGTTGTCTCATGTTTAAGCAGAGTTCAATAAATGCCCATGACACTTCAGTCTGACTGCACAGCCTATGTCCTGCTTAAAGATGTATTTATAAGAGTAGGGAATGGTTAAAGCGGAGTTTCCCCTCAACCCTTTTCCTGGCAGCAATTTTACAATTTTGGATTTCTTATGACTTTCTGTCTTAGTGACCATGGTCAGCAAGACGAATAAAGAGTGGAAATTGCTTTTAGTACGTACACGCAGCTATGAAAACATGGGAATAGTTCTAATAATCCATCCTTACTCTATCCAAAACTTGGAAATAGGTTTTTTTTTTTTTTACACACACTTTTAGAAAAAAAGACCATATTGTATTTTCACATTTGTACAGGTTTGCTTGTCTGTATTTTATGTTTTTAGACTAGATGTATGGTATTTTTCCTACTATGATGACCCTGCCTGTTTGGAAAAGATATGTGTATAGAGAGTGTATTGTTGTCAGTCAGGCAGCTGAATTTTAGATTTACATTGTAGTAGAGTAGCATTGCAGTGACGCACATCCCATGCGTAGTACATCAGATAATTAGGAATATATGCAGAAACCAAAATTATAAAACAGTACCACACATTAGGATAATTTATATCCAGCTGCTCTTTTACATGTGCATGTAAAAACAAACATTGAAAAGGCCATCCTTTCTTTTAAATGTTAATGGATCCACACGTTACACTAGAAGTCTCACCCCTTCTGTGTGTGTATATATGTATATGTATATATATATATATATATATATATATATATATATATATATATATATATATATATATATATATATATGTGTGTGTGGTGTGTGTGTATGTATGTATGTATACATATGTGTGTGTGTGTGTGTATATATGTGTATATATATATATATATATATATATATATATATATATATATATATATATATATGCATTTAGGCATCTAGATGTGGTGAAGATGACTTGCTGAAGTTCAAACTGAGCATCAGAATGAGGAAGAAAGGTGATTTGAGTGACTTTGAACATGGCATGGTTGTTAGTGCCAGTCAGGTTGGTCTGAGTATTTCAAAAACTTCTGATCTTCTGGGATTCTAGGGTTCACAGAAAATGGTCCAAAAAAAGAGAAAATATCCAGTGAGCTGCAGTTGTGTGGACAAAAATGTCTTGTTGATGTCAGTGATCAGAGGAGAATGGGCATTCAATTTCAGCTGCAACATTCAGATGGTAGGGTCAGAATTCGGCGTAAACAACATGAAAGCATTGATCCAACCTACCTTGTATGAACAGTTCAGGCTGGTGGTGGTGTAATGGTGTGGGGGATATTTTCTTGGCACTAGCAAGGTGTAACTAATAAAGTGGCATGTGTGTGTGTTAGTGTTATGATTTGAAGCTTGCATAGAGACTGTAGGGCTTTAAATGTCCTGTGTTGTGCACACAACTGATGAATGATTGCACAGCAAAAAAGAGAAAATGAAAAATACTTGGGTGTTAAAAGTACCAATCACTTGAAATATAGAGTAATAGATGATGTTGTATTTTTTTTTTTTTTTTTTCTTCTGCAAACTTTTTGCTTTTACTTTTTTCATTTACAGAATACCCAGTATTGCATATTGCAGTTATCTTGTGATCCTTTATCTTAAGGTCATCTCTAAAGAAGTAACATAGGAGAAAGGTGTAAAAATTAGCAAATTCCTTGTGTACACAACCCCTGATAATAAATTTAGATTTCTGAATTATGTCCAATTCCTGAAAATGTATTTATTGAGAGGAATATGGAGAGCATGATATGTATTGCTAAAAAGGCCTTAGAGTGAGACTGCTTATGACTTTGGTAGAGGATTTACATCGCATTGTAGTATGGGCAGATGCTGATGTGACTTGAGTGATGTATCTGGCTATTTATTGCTGCTTTTTGTGAACAGTAAATAATAACAGGCTACGCCATTTAATTCAGTTATGTTTAAATTAAGGAAAACTTGTATTGAGAGACAAATGTGGGCTGCTATTGTTGACTCACTTCTGAATATGCTAGTTGTTTGACCACAACAAGCATGGTGCAAATAAAGTTAAGGATAAGTGGGTCCTGCATGGATATTTAGAAGTAATTGGGTTATCAATGCAAATAGACCTCTAGCTTCTTCGGTAGAATAGGTTATCAGTGGAACCCTTGCATGTTCCCTTAGTGGAGGTTTTTCACATATTCACTCTTCATAATTCACTGTGTTGAAGCACTTAGTTTGGGGAGGAGGGGGGGGTAGCACTCAAGTCCATTAGGGTTCTATTGCTTCACATAGTGTTGTCAACATCAACATGCCTAGAGGAAAAGAAAAAGGAGTGATGACCTCATCAATGAGCTGGTTTTCTTTTCTTTTCAATAGTGTTTATTAGTTTTTTCATAAGAAAGAAGTTACAAACCAATACAGAGAAGATATACATCCACCCCTCCCCCCCTTCCACCCCATACAAGCTGCAGCCTTTTCAGGCCGGAACAATGGCAATGTACAAAATTCAAAAGATAATTTCAAAATAATTATCTGTTGATGGTGACCAAAGGGGGTCCCATAGGGGCCGTAGATGAAAGATCTGCAACAACAAGACAACAGGAAAAAAAAACTGAATCTAATGTAAAACTATTTACCAGGTCTGGTGTCTCAGACCACCCTGACCCATATAAAGTGGGCAATCGTCCTCAAATGTTCAGCAAGCCATAAGGGAATATACCCCTCATGGCCCTTGGTTAGTTAGTTAATGTTCAAGACCAGAGATGGTTGTCTTTTAAAGTTCAATCACAACCCTGTGTTGGGTTCTGGACCTGGATGCCTTGCTCATTGGTAATTTAGTCTGCAGGGTGGTCCTGAACTGTACATTACTGTCTGGTGACAGTGTCTGCATTGCAAGGCTATCTGAAAATACTATCTACAAGCATTTTGACAGGTAAAATGGTTCACTTATAAGTGTGATTTTTGTTGTTTGCCAAGAGTTCAATGTCAAGCTTTTATGAACTTGTTTTATTGATGCTTGATGAAAAGGTACCCCTCTTGAATTCTTTATTGTTCACTGTGCAGCAAAGAAACACCTGAAATTTGAACAATGTGTTTTATCCTACAGTATTGTATTTCCGTTTACTATTTGATTTTCTGCCTTCTTTTTTTCTAGGTACAATTATGTCATGCTGGGCCTTTCCCTCAGTTTCCTCTGCCTCTCCTACTATATGACTCTTTGGTTGGGAAGTGTGGGATTTATCCTTGCAAACTGTTTTAACATGGGCTTACGGATCACTCACAGCTTATTCTACATTAGGAGATATTTCAAGGAGAGCCCCTACCAGCCCCTTGCCGGGCTTCGTCCATCCACTGCTGTCATTGGTGTTCTTTGTCTCTGTGCTGCAGTAACCGGATATTCAGAGGTAATTCCATTTTCACTTTTCCATTTACGTTTCATATGGATGTAAAAAGGAAAAATAAGAGAATGACAATCCATACAACAAGCAGTCAGCATTGTATTTTAACTGACACATAGTTACACAATGATGTTCTCAGAAGTAGAACATTGACTGGATTTGGAGTTTACTGTTTCTGATTGGTGCTAATTATGTTCATGTTATTTATTACTACTTTGCAGGTCTAGGAGAAAAAAGACGTGTGGGATTTAAAAAAAACAAACACTCATACTCACCTCCATGCTGCAGCTGTCCCACATCGGCTCCGAGACTGAGATCTGAGCAATCATGTGACCGCTGATCACTCAGATCTCAGCTCCGTTCTGCTCCTCCAGTGCTGGGCAGGGTAGGGGCCAGCAGCCACTGGCTGCGGCTCTGAGGCGTGATGATAGGCTGAGCCAGCTGCCAATGAGGTATTCGAATGATCCCCAAAATATTGTTGGGATCCTTCCAGATCCTGGAGAGATGGGCAATAGTCTGCTTTTAGCTTATTCTGGGTCATAGCAGAGCAAAAGTAATTGCACTTCTGTGACCCACAAGAGATGTTTGGCCAAAAAAGCTTTGGTCATACTTTTTTTTTTTTTTTTTTTTTTTTTAAGGTTTATGTTAATGATTATTTGATTATTTAAAATGAACAATCTATTACATAATGGGTTCCTCATATCTTCAGATGTGATTGTTATCAAGTTTTTAATTGTACCATTAAGGTTACACTGTATTTGTACCAGATTAACATGCTCTGTAGCTTTAAAGGCTAAGTTCAGCTTTTACGTTGTTTATGCTGGTGAAATTACATGTAACATGTTCTAAAGGTCAATTTATCCTTTAATGTTTTTTTGAACTGCATTACTTGGATCTGGATTGGGGTTGAACACTAGCTACATCTTTAATTTAGGATTATTTTTTAACACAGTTTGGTTATTGGGGTTGTTTTCTTGATCCTACATCAAGGGACACAAAGCAGGCTATTCATGATTATGTGGGTTATATGCCACCTATAGCTGAATGGACACTGGCAGATCAATCAGACCGGAAATCCTCCCTATATAACCCCTCTTTTACAGGAAGTACTTTAGTTTTTTTCCCAGTGTCTGTACGGTGGATGGTCACTGATGTCCTGCATGTGCTCTTGGAGCATACCTCGAGGTATGGAATGGTTCTGCTGAGAATCAAGGAATTCAGTCTGATCCGTTCGAAAAGCTGTTTGCTAAAATGGATGGTACCCAAGCCTATAAGGAGAAGAATCCTCTGGGTTTTGCTTGTAATGCAGCCTTCTGGTGCTGGACCCTGCATAACGGAACCCTGTGCAGTACATGACTGACCAAGGTGTTTTCTGGTGGGGTGCTGTACAGGTCCAGTGCGGGAACAAGGCCATCCAGTGCCCAGGGTGAACATGGCAAACTGCGCGCCCCCCCCCCCATCCAGGATAGGGCTAATAATAGTGTAAGGTTTATCTCCTACCTCCACTCTTAACCAGACAAACGCATTGACTCCTGCTGTTCTTCTCTGGGTAACTGCATTTATCTCCTACCTCCACTCTTAACCAGACAAACACATTGACTCCTGTTAAATTCTGAACAAATGTTGTAATTATATCTGTGTATCTGTTGACTTGTCCTCACCTCTAGGCGCACTCAGGTTTATGACTGTGGCCTGGTTCCTAAGAAACATCCCCCACTATTCATGTGAGCCTTATCAGCTTCTAATTGGGGTGGAGTTGAATGCTCATTTGAGCATCTCCCTATAAATTTAGTTCAGCTCATGGGGGAGATCTCTGATGGGGGGCACAGTCTCTGATGGGGGTGCTGCTTATGATGGAGTGCGGCTTTGAATGAGTGCAGAGCAGTTAAACACAGCAGTTGAACTAAAGTAGGAGAACTTAAGCAGCAGGAAGACACAACAACAGCAAGAAACTCTACTGCACGCTGGACAGACTGCAAGGAAACATCTGTTTCATACCTGAGTCCCACTCCATGTACCTTTTATATAATACACCCCTCTTCTCCTCTTCATAATACTATCCTCTGTTCCCAAATCTAATTTCTTTACTCCTCTGCTCCACCCCAAAACTTGTACATCTACCCCTCATTGCTATCATCTCCCTACTATTGCTTTCATCACCTCCCCAAAATGCCTCTTCCACTCCTCCTCATTTTCCTCACCTCTGTTCCCAAAATCCATTCACTATATCCCTCTGCTCCTCCTAAACATTTGTATATTGTGCCCTCACTGCTTCCCTCACCCCTCTATGGCACCCACCACCTCCTCCTATTACTCCACTCTCCCTCTGACTCGAACACCTCCACTAGGAGTTTCTCACGCTCTTGCACATCCCGCTCCCCATGCCACCTTTCTCACCCTTCTCCTCATAACCGCAGGGGACATCTCCCCGAATCCTGGCCCTCCACCACCTCCCTCACCCGCACAAAACCCTCCCGCCTCCACGTCCTGCCGCAACTTAGTATCTGTCCCCCTGCTCCCTAAAATCTCCCCCCCGTTTTCATGTGCACTCCTGAACGCCCGATTGGTGTGCAACAAGCTTACCGCCATCCACTACCTCTTTGTTTCCCGCTCCCTCAACCTCCTGGCGATTACGGAAACCTGGATCCAGCCCACTGACTCTACCTCCCCTGCTGCACTCTCCTACGGAGGTCTCACCTGGACCCACTCACCCAGGCCCAACGGTCGTAAAGGTGGTGGGGTTGGCCTGCTCCTGTCACCGCTTTGCACCTTCCGAGTCCTCCCAAACCCCCCCTCCCTATCCTTCTTCTCCTTCGAGGCCCAGTGCGTCCGACTATTCTCCCCAACCCCCCTGAATATTGCTGTGATATACCGGCCTCCTGGATCCATACCCCGCTTCCTGGAAGACTTCTCCTCCTGGCTACCCTTCTTCCTCTCCTCTGAGCTACCCACTATCATCCTTGGGGATTTCAACATCCCTGTCAACCTCGACAACCCGGACACAGCCTGTCTCCTCCACTTAACCTCCTCCTTTGCACTTGCACAGTGCATACAATCCACCACCCACTCCGACGGTAATATCCTTGATCTTGTCTTCTCCAACCGCTGCACTCCCCACAACCTCGCTAACACCCCCTTCCCTCTCTCTGACCACAACCTGATTACCTTCTCTATCTCCTCATCCTCCAACGCCTACCCCTCCAAATGTCACACTTCTACCAGTCGAAACCTCCGCAACCTTAACCCTGCCTCCCTCCACTCCGCAGCTGATCAACTCTCCATGACCGCATCCTCCCCCTGTCCTGCCCCGACTTGGCTATGACTGCCTACAACAATGCGCTGTCAACAGCCCTTGACTCACTAGCGCCTTTAACCACACGCAACATCAGACCCCGACCGCTCCAGCCCTGGCAGACTGATCACACCAAAACCCTCAAACGACACAGTCGTGCCCTGGAGCGACTATGGCGCAAAACCAAATCCCAACAAGCCTTCACCCGATACAAATCTGCCTTCCACACCTACACCTCCTCCCTCCATACTGCCAAACAAGCCTACTTCCTGACCCTCATCAAGGCCCTCTCCTCCAATCCTCGCCGACTCTTCTCCACCTTCAACTCTCTACTCTGGCCACCCCCACCTCCACCCAGCACCTCACTCACTGCCCTTGAGATTGCCAATCACTTCAAAAACAAGATTGACACAATTCGCAAGGACATTGCCGCAACTCACACGCCTTCTCAACCCGTCCCCTCTCACACAGCTACCCCCTCCCCCTCGACATAACCCACAGGGACTTCGTCGCTGCTCAAACTCCCTCCCTCCAACCCCCTTCCCCCTCACTCAGCTACCCCCTCTACACCCCTCTCCCACAGCCCCACCACTGCTCTTGACCTTACTACCATCGAAGAAGTCTCCAAGATCCTCTCTGATGCCCGCCTCACCACCTGCCCCCTCGACCCTATCCCCTCACAACTCCTACAACCTCCCTCCCCCTCCATCCTACGCTCCCTCACCCACATCTTCAATCTCTCCCTCTCCTCCGGCACTTTCCCTTCCCCTCTGAAACATGCACACATCACCCCCATACTTAAAAAGCCCTCCCTGGACCCCAATGATCCGAACAACCTCAGACCCATCTCCCTGCTCCCATTTACATCTAAACTCCTCGAGCGCCTAGTCTACGCCCGCCTATGCTCTCACCTCAACGACAACAACCTCCTCGATCCCCTACAGTCCGGCTTCCGTCCCCTACACTCCACCGAAACTGCCTTACTCAAACTCTCCAACGACCTGCTAACCGCCAAAGCTAATGGCCACTATTCTGTGCTCCTACTCCTTGACCTCTCTGCGGCCTTTGACACAGTCGACCACCCCCCTCCTCCTCAAAAAACTACACTCCCTCGGCCTCAGAGATTCTGCTCTCTCCTGGCTCTCATCCTACCTGTCACAACGCTCTTTCAGCGTTACCTATAATGCCACCACCTCCCTCTCACTCCCCCCCCTCTCTGTTGGGGTCCCTCAAGGCTCTGTCCTCGGGCCCCTTCTCTTCTCCATCTACACCTCCTCCCTTGGCCAATTCATACACTCTCACGGCTTCAACTACCACCTCTATGCCGACAACACACAAATCTATCTCTCAACCCCCCACCTCACCCCCTCGGTCTCCGCCCGAATCACACACCTGTTGAGCGACATATCAGACTGGATGTCGCTCCACTTCCTTAAACTGAACCTCTCCAAAACCGAGTTTCTTGTCTTCCCTCCAGCCCGGACACCACCCCCCATTGACTTCTCCATCATGTCCAACAACGCCACCATCAAACCCGCCCCGCAGGCCAGAGTACTTGGTGTCATTCTGGACTCCAACCTATCCTTCCAGCCCCAAGTCCACTCTTTAACAAACTCGTGCAGACTCCACCTCCGCAACATCGCCAAAATCTGCACGTTCCTAACTCCAGAAACCACTAAACAGCTCATCCACTCCCTCATCATATCACGACTCG